TTTTCCTTTCTCTTTCATCCTTTCTGTTTTCGTTTGGTGTACCCCACTAATTTATTAAACAGGTCAAAAACAACAATACAAGTAAAATAGAAGAAATAAAAAAAATAAATGTGGACGCCCGAGACTCAATTTATTTTGGGACTCCTCGGTGGTAGGGGGGGGGATCTATCATAATAGGAAAAAAATAAAAAGGGGGCCCGATTCAAGGTGGTTCATGGGTTAGCCTCTACCTATGACCCGGGGGTTCATGGTTCGATTTCCGGGTTGGGGCACAAGCCGGGGTTGTGGGCTTGATCCCCAAGTAGGGGGGTGTAGAGGAGGCAGCCCTATCAAAGATTCTCATCATTGATGTTTCCTGTCTCTCTCCCCATCTCTCTTCCTCTCAGAAATCAATAAAAAATTTTTTAAAAAAGAAGAGAGCCATGGGAATCCCCTGGAAACTTTGGGCAGGGAACGACTTGTTCAAGGGGGAGCCCTGTGGCTCTGGCTGAGGCCTGGGGACATACGCACAGGTTCTCCACCTCCCACAAGGCTAGGTTCTGGAGCCCAGGCTCCTCCCACCCCAGCTTCCCTGCTAGGAAACACCCTATCAGGCTTGCTGTGGCAGAAAATCCCCAGTGTCCTGCCCCTGGAGGCCTTAGCACCACTGTGCAGGCCTGCCCCTGCCTGTCCTGTGGCCTGAGCCCTGGCTGGGGAAAGGCCTGGTTACCTGCTGCAGCTTCCACTGCTTGTCCTCCCGGAAGGCAAAATGCAGCAGCTGGTTGTTCCGGGGCATCTTCAGGTTCACATCCTGATGGGTGAGAGTGGGGTAAGCTGGGCAGAGGGATGTCCTTCTGCTTTTGGCCTTTCTGAGCCTTTGAGCCAAGGGTGGAAACTGGTGGTTCAGGCCTCAGCCTCTCCTAGGCAGGGGAGGGGGGAGGACTCCCAATACCATGGCCATTTGCGGGGGTGAACATGCGGTCAGGAAACAGGAACTCATGCCCAAGAGGAACCACAAAGATATGAAAGGGAAAAGAAGCCAAGAAAGGGGAAGGTGGCCTCAGGTGGGAGGAGGCATGTGATGGTGGGCAGACGGAGAACATCTGCACAGGCTCATGGACTGAATACCCATTCATGAAGGACGAGGACCTTCTCCCATACCTTGGCACCTGGCACAGGGCCGGGTGCAGATGGAGCTCAGATGCTGGTGATTCCACTTTGATCTGGGGCCAGCCTAATCCTGCCAATGCCCATGTTTCACCAGGCCCAGACTCTGAGCTGGGCCATGTGCAGAGCATCCCTCTCCTGTGCTCAATGAAACCTCTCACTAATCTCTTGAGGACGTCGGGGGTTGTTGTCATTTACAGATGAAGAAACTGAGGCCCAGGATGGTCAAGGATTCTGCCTTGTGTCACACAGCCAGCCAGTGGCAGAGCTGAGATGAGCAGGAGGCCCCCATGCTCTTCCCCACTGGCTTCTCCACAGAAAGGGAGAGGGACCAGGGACTCACCGCCTGGCTCAGCGCGTCCCCTTGCAGAGTCAGCACGCCCTTCACCTGGTCTGTGCTGCAACACATGGGGGTCAGAGCAGAACCTGCAGCCGATCCCTCCCACCCCCAGGCCTTCCCATTGGGCCCGTGTGGCTCTGTCATAGGATGTTCCAACCCAGGTGTTCTCACCCCCCTAAGGAGCCCATCCCAGGGGTTTCCACAAGCCAGGGCTTACCCACTGCTGCCCAGAATGAAGTTCTCTTGCCTGGCAGGCCCCTCCATGCCTGAGCCTGGTAGAGTGAAGCGGAGAGAGGCCTCCTGGGGGGCAAAGGGGAGTGGGGCAAAGTTCACCCAAGCCAGCCCAGAAGTCCTACTCCCAGGTGGGCGAGGGGAGGAACAAGTCCCACTCCCAGGTGGGCGATGGGAGGAACAAGATGGGTTGGCCTCACAGGAACGTCCTACCCATGCCCCAGGGCCCGAGTTTCAGGTCCTACCCAAGCCAATACCCGCTCCTTCCACGTTCCCTGGGCGCCTGTGCCCAACATGGGGATATAAAACAGGAATACTCTCCCAGCTTGGTTAAGGTGCTCGGGTGCTCGGAACAGGGTCAGGGAACCCTGGTAGTCATGGCAACCCGCAATTCTGACCATACCAGGCAATGCCTGAACATTTGTGAGTTGACCGGCTTATCTTCAGGTCAACCTTGAGGCAGGTACTGTTACTTCCTTTTTGCAAATGACGACAGGGAGGCCCAGGGAGATGGAGTATTTAGCTAGTGTCACAATGTTGGGGTCCTTGATCTCAGATTAAATGTCACCGCTTCAAAGTAGGCCTACCCCGTCCGGACCCCGAGGCTCTCCCAGACCCACAGTACTCACACAGCTGCTGGTGGAACAGGGTGATTATTTGCTGGCGCCCCCGACTAGGCTCCCAAGTCCACCGACGACAAAGCCCCGTCAGAACACTGCGCTCCGCGTACCCCGTAGGCGCTAGGGAGGCGGGCGCGGCCGGCCAGCGGAGGAGCCGCACTAGGGAAGGCTGTGGAGGATGGACGCGCGCAAAGGCCCACGGCCGCCCGCGAGACGTTACCTTTAGGATGTCCTGTAGCTGCCTCAGCACGGCGTGCACTTCGTCGTGCAGCAGCCAGCGGAATTCCTCCTCCTGGCGGGACAGGCCGCGGTCAGCCGCCCGGGCCCGCCGCCCCCACCCTGCCCCGCCCAACCGCCCGTGCGCCTCACCAGCACCGCCCGCTCCACCGCCGTCGGTGCCATCGCGGTCGCCATCGCCACTGCTCTCTGTGAAGCTACTGTCTCCGGTCAGCGGTCTGCGCCCGCCGCTGCTCGGTCAGTACTCAGCGCCCGGGCCCAACCCCCGCCGCCGATTGGCTAAGTGGGAACCAGTCCGCCCCCGAACCACCGCCCCATTCCGCCGATTGGCCGAGAGGACGCCCGCCCCGCCCCCGGCTCGCGACAGGGCGGAATGGAACTAGGCTGGCTGCAGTAAGAACCCGCCCGCTCCGGCTCGCCCGAGACGCCGCCGGCGCAAGCCGCGGGCGCCGCATCCAAGCCAGCTCTTCGGCTGGAGCGCTCTCGTCCCGCCTCTCCCGGGCTCTGATAGGGTGCCCATACCCACTTGCGCTCTATTGGCCGGCGGAATGGCTGGCTCTCGCCGCGCCTGGCGATTGGCCGATGGGGCGGCCGGCTCCAGCTGGGCCTTGCCTTCCACCCTAGTTCATGGGTCCAGGTTAAGGAAAAAGCCCAGGGCTTAGCCTCCGCCCTCCTCCCTCCACGGCTGGGCGGTACAGTGTTTAGGCGCAGGCGAGGTAATCAGTCCCAGTTGGGTTACCAAGAAACGTTTTATTCTGCTTGCAGTAGCCTTTTGTTAATTGCACAAAATCATTTGTTTTTGCCATTTAAACATTATCACACAATCCTATTCTGAAAAACATGTTCATGAAAAACAAAGCAAAAATAAAAATTCACAACCTTAATTACCAGATTTGTCATTTAAAGAAAAAAAGGAGGGGGACGGAGGAGGGGCTTTCTTACAAGCTTTTCCACAAGTGTCACATTTTTTCCTTAAAAGGGAAGGATTTCAAAACAAAGGTGAAATAGCTTAAACAGAAATATTCATAAAAAGGAACTTTACAGAATTGTCAACAATATTAAGACAACATTGACTAACAGTTTCATTACAGCATCTTCCCCTACTCCCAAACCGCCCCCCACCCCCCAGTGTCCAGCTAGGACTATAACAGGCTTTGTGTTCAGAGAGAAAATAATTCAAAATCCCAGTGAAATCAACTGTGTCAAAACCCACAGGCATCTTCCCTGCCCTCTCCTGTCTTCTGAGATCCCATGACTTGGGTTCTGATCAGTGGAAAAGAGCCAAGGTTGTGAGGGGAAGGGACCCACACCAGTGTGGCCACCTCATTTTTTATATATAATTATATATTCACTATAAATGCTGACCTTCTGCAAAGTGTGACTTTGAAAATCCAACCCATGCAGAGGGAGACATTGACAACCTTCAGATGACTTCTCCTTGTTCTTTTGCCACATTCCAACACCCTCTGGTCCCCTATCCAAGGAGATATACTAGGTCCTCAAGGATGTCTTGGATCCACCTCTGAGGGTCAGTTAGTTCAGGTTCAGTCAAGCCCAGTTCTCCTTTTCCCTCCCGATAGACCTCAGGACCCTGGAAGTACCGAAGACCACCAAGTTGCTGGCTGAAGTGAAGACACTCATTCTGTTCAAGAGCTGAGCCTAAGAAATGGTCATCGTTTGTCAGGCTGGGTCGGGGCCAAAGGGACAGAGAGAGGAAGAAATTCTGCTTCCATGGGAGGAAAAGGGGAGAGGGAGGAGAATGGAGAGAGGTGGGCATGCAGAGGACTTGTACAGGGGCAGGCTGGGGAAAGTGGGACCACTGTGAGGGCACCTGGGTCAGATTGGCTCTTTAGGACCATATGAAGTTCTGTGGCATAAAGGAAACAGAAAGCCCCCCCCCGCCCCACTCTTCACTGGTGGCCCTCAGGATCCCCTTCCCAAGGGCTGGAATGCAAATCTAAATACTAAAACAGCGTGTTGAGGAGTGAGAGCCCCCTACACCAAAGCAAGAAGTCTGATCCTAGCCCAGGACTCCGTAGTGATGGCGACTTCTAGGATGGGTGCTGAAGAGCAGTGAGGAGATAGGCTTCCATGAGACTCAACCTACAGGCTGACTGCTGCTCTCCCTGGAAAGCCAGAGCCTTGTCTTCACTTGACTTTGCCAATCTCTTTTCAGTTCACAAAGGCATTTCTGGAGAGTTGGTTGCACGTTGGCAGCTTAAACATGACAATCCCCATCAGCTGGTCACCTGAGGTTGGGAGGGTCCACAGGATCCTCCGTTTAGTCTGTACTAGTTCATCTTGGCCCAGAGCCTCTCTCTGCAAGGGATCCAGTCGGGAAAGTGAATGTGACCACAGCCTCTTCGCTCTGAGGGAAGCAGGAAGGCTTCCAATTCTCATTGCTGATTCTAGTTCCTCGACTGGAAGGGGTATGAGATAAGACAAGCGTGGAAGAAGGGGAAAAAAGCCAGGCAGCAGTTTCCGGGCAGCTTCTATCCTGGAGTAAGAGCCAGTGTGGGTGTATATGTGTGTATGTGTGTGTGTGTGTATGTGTGAACACACAGCCACCTGGTTCAGGGGCCAGTGCCCAGCTCAAGAGCTTTGCTACAGGCCAATCCTGCTGACACCTCCCCGGTTCCCAGGACTTTCAGGGGAGGAGTAGTGCTGTGCTGATGGCAAGTCTCAAAGTCTGTATAAAAGGAGATGGAGACAGGTGGACTGGTCCAGAGTGAAGTCCCAGGACCCCAACCCCATGTGAGGAAGAGGGGGTCAGAGGGAGGGAGGGAGTGGGGGCTTAGTGTATGTAGGCCCGGTACACGGCAGACATGTCGTTGTCAGACTGGTCCAGTGCCTTGGCTCTTTTGTACACCTGGAAAAAAATGAGATGAGCTCAGTCTCTGACCATATAGCTGACTTAAAGACATGGATCTGCTTCCTGGAGGTGGTTCTAGATGTGGTTATGTAGGTATGTTCTGGAGTCCAGGCTGTCTGGGTGTGATCCTGGCTCCTTTGATGACTGGCCTGACCTTGGATAAAGTGCCACAGCCACCGCTTTCTGATATCATGGAGGTAATAAGGTTACGGGGAGGATTAAATGGAGTGAGGGATGTATAATGTTCAGAGTGCGGGCACAGAGGGAGGGCTCAGTGTTGTTAGCAATTATAACCATGTCTCTTCCTGATGATGACCCTCTAAGGACTTCCCATGTTATTCTCTGGGCTACTATTCTTGCCCTTTCCTCTGCATAGGATGCCCTTCCCTCAGCAAGGCTGGCGGCTTCTTCCCAAAGGCCTTCCCTAACCACCTCATCTAAAGCAGTGGCTGCACCACTTTACCCTGGTCACTTCTATCCCCTTACTCTGATCTATTTTATTCATATTTCTGACCATCTGAAATTCTCATTTGTTTAAATATGTATGTACTTATTTTGTTCCTCCTTCTATTAAAATGTACACCAACCTGTCCCCAGAGCCTAGTATGGTGCTTGGCAATTAACAATTGCCTTGGTGATACTAGATGAATATAAAGAAGTATGAAAATAATTAAAAAGCCATTGTTCAACAACAGTGGTATCGCATACAGCCATGCTGAGGAAATGCAGTTGGACACAAACTTCCTCCCTTACATGGCTGGGTGGATTTTTTAAATTTACTTTTTCACTTGTCTTATTATTTAAAAAAAATATTTTTATTGATTTCAGAGAAGAGAGGGAGAGATAGAAACATCAATCCATTTGGAGCCACCATAATTGTCCATTACAGCTCAGGTGAAGTTGTCAACTCAGAATGAAGGCTAAAGACTTTTCAGATAAAAGAAACCACTCGCTGCCAGCAGACCTGCATTACAGGAAATGCTAAAGCGAGTTTTCCCAGCTAAAAGGAAATAACACCAGAGAGAAATTCAATTCTTCAAAAAAGAATGGAGAGCACTGGAAATAGTAATTAGAAATATTATAAAATTATTTTTCTCTTAATTTCTTTAAAATACGTATGACTAATTAAACATTATCTTATGGGTTTAAAACAAAGGCAGACAGAACACATAGGACCTTCTTCCTCTGAGCTCCAGCACTGGGGCAGCGGCATGGAGGAATCCAGGGACATATGGGGAGGAACTGGATTGTCTGGCATTGGAGCAAGTACTCAGGGGCGGCTTTCTCCCAGACGGGTGCTCGCTGGGGTCATTCTTCCTATGCTGAGACCTCCTCTATCACAGAGCTGACTGGCAGCCAAATAGGAGATTCCATCAGCCAGGCTTACACTGTTCGCTCCACAGTGCTGATTCCCTGAGACCCTGCCCCATCCAATTTGCAGCCCCACCCAAGCTGTTTGTAGCAGTTTTTCTGTATGACTGGCCTGTCCTGGTTCAGGCTTCAGATTTTTGTAAAATCTCTCAAATAAGCATCAGCTGGCATCAGAATGCTCTATACCTATCAATAAGAGGCCCCAAACTAGGTACTAGCAGTAGCCTGCCTTGCTTCACAGCTTGGTGTGGCCTAGGCACTTCCAAGTCCAGCACAAGTAGCCACCATCTCCAGATCACTCTGTATCTCCTCGCAGGTCATCCCAGGCAGTGGCTGACTTTGCACCTTTCAGGAGACCTCAGAGCCAGTGTACCCAGTGGTCAGCTTCAGACCATACCAGATGACAACTCTACACATCTACAAGTGACATACTCAAGTAGCAGATTCAGTGAGCGCCAAAGCCCCACTGAAGCAAGTCCTGCTCCATACGGGTGTCTCTTGCACAGCAGCTCTTCCATTGTAGCTGCAGCTAGTCCTGACAGGCAATTGGCCTGAAGGTCAATTTCTCCCAGTGACACCAACAACAATCAAGGCTCAATCACAACAAGACTGTGCACACAGCCTACACTGGGCGCACCTTGAGTGCCCAGCTCAGGGGAGGTGAGCCACTGGGCCTTACAGGACACCTACTACACAAGGCCACTACAAATTCCAGGAGACAGAGCAGCTCTATCTAATATATAGAAACAAACACAGGAAAGCAGCCAAAATGTGGACACAAAGAAATATGTCACAAATGAAAGTACAGAAGAAATCTCCAGAAAAAGAACTAAATGAAATGGAAGCAAACTAACTACTAGATATAGAGTTCAAAACAATGATTATAAGGATGCTCAAGGATCTACTGAGAGCTTCAAGGGACTTAGTGAGACTTTCAAGGATCTTAGAGAGAATTTCAAAGACATGAAAAAGGACCAGTCAGAAATTAAGCATACACTAACTGAAATAAAGAATAATTTATAGGGATTCAACAGTAGAGTAGAGTATTCCAAGAATCAAATCAATGATTTGGAATATGAGGAGGCAAAAAACACCCAATCAGAAGAGCAAAGAGAAAAAAGAATCCAAAAATGTGAAGATAGTGTAAGGAGCCTCAGGGACAACTTCAAGCGTACCCACATCTGCATTAGGGAGGTGCCAGAAGGAGAAGAGAGAGAGCAAGATATTGAAAACCTATTTGAAGAAATAATAACAGAAAACTTCCCCTATCTGGTGAAAGAAATAGACTTATAAGTCTAGGATGCACAGAGTCCTAAATAAGAGGAACCCAAAGAGACCCACACCAAGACACATCATAATTAAAATGCCAAACATTAAAGACAAAGAGAGAATCTTAAAAGCAGCAAGAGAAAAGCAGTTAGTTACATACAAGGGAATGCCCATATGACTGTCAGTTGATTTCTCAACAGAAATTTTGCAGGCCAGAAGGGAGTGGCAAGAAATAGTCAAAGTAATGAATAGCAAGGACCTACAACTAAGATTACTCTACCCAGCAAAGCTCTCATTTAGAACTGAAAGTCAAATAAAGAGCTTCAGAGACAAGAAAAAGCAAAAGGAGTTCATCACCACCAAACCAGCATTACATGAAATGTTGAAGCGTTTTCTTTAGGAAGAATAAAAAAGGATAAAAAATGTTAACAATAAAATGCCAATAAATACATTATCTATCAACAATTTAATCTAAAAAAGAAAATAACGAACAAGGAATCTAACAAAATAAACTGATGAATAAAATAGAAACAGAGGCATGGGAAGATGGAACAGACTGAAAAATCTCAGAGGGAAGTGGGGTGGGGAGTGCAGAAAGAGATTAACCAAAGAACTTATATGCATTTCCTATGGACACAGGCAATAGAGTGGTGAAGGCCTGGGAGAGGCAGGAACCGGGTGGAGGGAACAAAAAAGGGGTACATCTGCAATACTCTCAACAATAAAGATTTAAATAAATAAATAAATAAATACAGAAAAAAAACACAAAAGAAAGACAGATATAACACATAGGACATCTGTAACTTAAAGCAGGCGTTCTTAGCCTGGGGATTTTGGTAATGCCTGGATATATTTTCTATGGATGGGGGTGCTGCTGGTATCTAGTGAGTAGAGGACAGAGATGCTGTTAACATCCTATAATGCACAGGACAGTTCCTACAACAAAATATCAATAGTACCTACATTGAGAAATCCTGCCTTAAAAGGTGAGGGACAGAGAGGTAAATCAATCTGTTTTTGGTAAATATTAACTCTAAGTAGGCTGTGAAGGTAAGTGCATGTTGCAAGTCCTAGAGCAAAGATAGAAGAAAAATTATGCCTCATTAAAAAGCCAATAGATATCTAATATGAAATTCTAAAAATGTATTCAAATAACATAAAAGAAGGCAAGGCAGGCCTGGCCAGTGTGGCTTGTGGTTAGAGTATAATCCTGGGTTACAGGTTTGATGCCCAGCCCTGGTCGAGGTGCATGCGGGAGGCAACCAATTGATGTGTCTCTATCACATTGATGTTTCTCTCTCTTTCTCTTCTCCCCTCCCAAAAGAAAGGCAAGAAAGGAGGAACAAACAAAAGCCAGAAGGGAGAAACAGCAATCAAATGTTTGGTAGCTTTGAATTTAACCACACAACAGACTTCAAGACAGATTAAATGTTAAAGGACTATTTAACTTTAAGATCCAATCAGCAGGGAGCTTAAAGTCACACTATCCAAACAAATGGTCAGAAAGTGCCATGCTCAATTGAGAAATTAACTAATATGTTTATTTCCAAGCTAATGAAGGAGGGTGAAGGCAAGTCAGAAATCACCTCATAGAGAAGTGTTGCCAACACAAACCACACACACAAAACCCTTTGTTAAAGATAAGCTTATCAATAAAAAATTGATAAAATACATGCGGAATCTACTGCCAAGAGAGAACCCACAGGTGAAACAAACAGGAGAAACATGAAATTGTACTGCAACTTAAAAGAGTGAAATAGCCCTGGTAGCCAGTTTGGCTCAGTGGATAGAGTGCTGGCCTGAAGACTGAAGGGTCGTGAGTTCGATTCTGGTCAAGGATATGTATCTCGGTTGCATCCCCAGCCCGTCAGGCGCGTGAGGAGGCAACTAACTGATGTGTCTCTCTCACATTGATGTCTCTGTCTCTCCCTCTCCCTTCTACTCTCATTAAAAATCCATGGAAAAATATCCTCAGGCGAGGATTAACAAAACAAACAAAAAAGAGTGAAGTAAGTATTTTGAGATATTCAGGTAAGGAAGAACAGAAGATATAGAATTTAGGAACAGAAGACTATAAACTATGAAAAGACAGGTCTGAAAAGAGCAGTATGCTATTTTTTTGCTGGAATAAGCCACTTGAGACCTGTAAGTATTTAACTTAAATGAAAATGTGTATCAGCTTATAACATCTGAAGCTACAGCTTCTATAATAAATGACTGGGAATGGAACCCACCACCTTTCAGCTGTTTTAAAAAAAATATATTTTTATTGATTTCAGATAGGAGGGGAGAGGGAGAGAGAGAAACATCAATGATGAGAAGTAAGCATTGATTGCCTACCTTCTGCACGCCCCCTACTGGGGATCGAGCCAGCAATCGGGCATGTGTCCTTGGACCCTTCAGTCCACAGGCCAATGCTCTATCCACTGAGCCAAACCGGCTAGGGCCAGCTGTTTTTTAAGATTATGTTTCTATCAAGTTGAGATAAGAAAGCTGAACTTCTAAACAACTGTTTTCAATAACTGCATGTGTAGGTGCTCAATAAATGTCATTCAAAAAATGTTAATGATTAAACACTAATTAGTAGGCAGATATTGTCAGAATGGATAAAAATGTAAGCCCCAATTATAGACTGTCTACAAAAGATATAATTTAAAGGCACAGACTGAAAGGAAATGGATGGAAAAAGATATATCATGAAAACAGTAAGAATGAGAAGGCTGATTGAGAAACCAAGATGGTGGCATAGGTAAACACCGGAAATTGCTGCCTCCAATAACCACTTCAAAAATACAACTAAAAGACAAAACGGACATCATCCAGAACCACAGGAAGGCTGGCTGAGAGGAAATTCTACAACTAGAAGGAAAGAGAAAAGCACACTAAGACTCAGAGGAGGTGCGGAAGTGCAGAGGTACGGAGAAGCACGCGGCAGGGGCTGGCGACTGAGGACGCGGCCGTCTTTTTGAATCGGGAGGGAGTCACAAGCCCCCGACTGCTCTGAACTCCAGTTCCGGGTGAGTCTCTGGGGACCCAGACTCATACGGGGAGAAACTGGACTGTCTGGCAGCGGGCAGAACTCGGAACTCGAGGACGGCTTTCTCTTGGGGGTGCTTGCAGCGATTACTGGGACACTGAGACGCGGGACCCCTTAGGGCAGGGCTGAGGGTCAGCCATAGCTGCTTGCTCTGCCCTGATGATTCCCTGAGACCCCGCCCCACCCAAGCTGCGGCAGAGGCTTTTACATATTAATGCCCTGGCCCTTTGCAATCTGAAAATTACCTAACAAACTGCAGCTGGGCCAGACAGACCCAGAACTTCCAAGAGAAGGCCCAAGGCCCCACAGCAGCTTGCACTGCTTCACAGCTGGGCCTCATTTGGGCACCTCCAAACCCCAAACAGGGAAGGGGAATCTGCAGATCTCTTCGTAGCTCCTGCTGGGTAGCCTCAGGCAGAGGCTAAATTAGCACCTCCTTAGAGATCCAAGAACCAGTGTACCCAGTGGTCAGAGTGGGACCATCCAATTACAACTCCTCAGATCCATAAGGGACACACTCAGGGGGCAGACTCAGTGAGCACCAAGCCCCACTGAAGCAAGTCTTGCCTCATAAGAGTGTCTTCAGCACAGAAGTTTTCCCACCGTAGATACAGCTGACACTCACAGCCAATTGGCCTGGAGGTCAATTCCTCCCAGTGATACCTACAACAATCAAGGCTTAACTACAACAAGACTGTGCACAAAGCCCACAAAGGGGTGCACCAAGAGGGTCCACCTCAGGTAATTGGGGAGGCTGAGCCACTGGGCCCTATAGGATACCTAGCACACAAAGCCACTCTACCAACACAGGGAAGCATAAAAAATGCGGAGACAAAGAAACAGGTCACAAATGACAGAAATGGAGGAAAGCAAACAACTGGATATAGAGTTCAAAACCACACTTTTAAGGTTTTTCAAGAACTTTCTAGAAATGGCCGATAAATGTAGTGAGACCTTCAAGAAATCTAGTGAGACCCTCGAGGTTATGATAAAGGACCAACTAGAAATTAAGCATACACTGACTGAAATGAAGGATATTATGCAGAGTTCCAACAGCAGACTAGAGGATCGCAAGAATCAAGTCAAAGATTTGAAATATGAAGAAGCAAAAAACACCCAACCAGAAAAGCAAAATGAAAAAAGAATCCAAAAATACGAAGATAGTGTAAGGAGCCTCTGGGACAGCTTCAAGCGTACCAACATCCGAATTATAGGGGTGTCAGAAGAAGAGAGAGAGCAAGATATTGAAAACCTATTTGAAGAAATAATGACAGAAAACTTCCCCTACCTTGTGAAAGAAATAGACTTCCAAGTCCAGGAAGTGCAGAGAACCCCAAACAAAAGGAATCCAAAGAGGACCACACCAAGACACATCATAATTAAAATGCCAAGAGCAAAAGACAAAGAGAGAATCTTAAAAGCAGCAAGAGAAAGACAGTCAGTTACCTACAAGGGAATACCCATACGACTGTCAGCTGATTTCTCAACAGAAACTTTGCAGGCCAGAAGGGAGTGGCAAGAAATATTCAAAGTGATGAATGCCAAGAACCTACAACCAAGATTACTTTATCCAGCAAAGCTATCATTCAGAATTGAAGGTCAGATAAAGAGCTTCACAGATAAGGAAAAGCTAAAGGAGTTCATCACCACCAAACCAGTATTATATGAAATGCTGAAAGGTATCCTTTAAGAAGAGGAAGAAGAAGAAGGTAAAGATACAAATTATGAACAACAAATACACATCTATCAACAAGTGAATCTAAAAATCAAGTGAATAAATAATCTGATGAACAGAATAAACTGCTGATTATAATAGAATCAGGGGCATTGAAAGGGAGTGGACTGACTATTCTTTGGGGGGGGGAAAGGGGTGTGGGGAATGCGGGAAGAGACTGGACAAAAATCGTGCACCTATGGATGAGGACAGTAGGGGGGGGTAAGGGCGGAGGGGGGGGTGGGAACCGGGTGGAGGGGAGCTATGGGGGAAAAAAGAGGAACAACTGTAATAATCCGAACAATAAAGATTTAATTAAAAAAAGAAGAATGAGAAGGCTGTAGTAGTGATATTAAAATCAGACAATAGATTTCAAGACAAAGACTGAGAGACATCCTATATAATAAAAGGCTAATGTGCAAATAATAGACCAAAAGGCAGAACGACAGGTCACTATGATGCACACTGACCACCAGGGGGCAGACGCTCAATGCAGGAGCTGCCCCCTGGTGGTCAGTGCACTCCCACAGGGGGAGTGCCACTCAGCCAGAAGCCAGGTTTACAACTGGCGAGTGCAGTGGCAATGGCGGGAGCATCTCCTGCCTCCATGGCAGCACTAAGGATGTCTGACGGTTGAGGAGCGGGCCTCAGCTGTCAGTTGGACATCCCCTGAGGGCTCCCAGACTGGAAGAGGGTGCAGGCCAGGCTGAGGAACGCCCCCTGAGTGCATGAATTTTGTGCACCGGGCCTCTAGTTTCATAATAATAATGAAAGGGCAAGTTCATCAGGAAAACATAATAAACAAGAGTTTCAAAGGCATTAAGCAAAATGGACAGAATTAAAGAAACAGATAATACCATGATTATAGTGGGGAGATTTTACTATCTCTCAGTGACTGAAAGAAGCAGAAGAAAAATCAGTAAAGATCAGAAAAACACTAACAACCATCTTGACCAAACTGATAGCTGTGGAACACAGCACCCAGCAACTGCAGAACAGTGTTATTAAGTGCACATGGCACACCCAGCAACAACTATTGGGTTACAAAACAAGTCTGAATAAATTTAATGAGCTAAAAATCATATAGGGCAGTGTTTGGCCGCAAAGGAGATCCATAACCACTAGACAATTAGGAAAACCCTAAATATTTGATAAAATTTAAAGTAATCCACAGGTCAAAGAAGGAATCACAAGAGAAGCAAGCGCGGCTCAGAAGGAAGTGTCTAGTTTTTAATGGACCTTTTAGAAAAGGCAGGTCTAAAATCAATGACCTAACATTTCACCCTGAGAGATTAGACCAGACAGCAAAGAAAAGCAAAAGAAAGAAGGGAGGAATAACAAGAAAAACAAAGGGAAGGGTGTTGGGACTTGTGCCACTGGCTCTTGCAGTTAGTTACCTCATTGGCTGCAGCTGCCATAGGAGTTGGATGGTTGACGGCATCGCCCAGCGCAATGGCTAAGCGAAGATCCTTCTGAATGTATTTCAGGTAGAAATCTGGTTTAAAGTTTCCTTGTAGAATATCTGAGGAGAGAAAGCCACTTATCAGAACAATTTGTAGGACCCTAAATAAGAAACTACCTGCAAGTACCACCAGGTTTCAACACATAGCATTTCTTGTCCCCTCAGACTCCCAAGATACAAGTTTCCAGCCTGTACCCCCAAATCCTATCTGCCGTGTCTCTGGACCCTCACTACCTGGGGATATGGAGAGGGTGCATCTTTCATACCTAATGAGCCCCTGAAGAGACTGTTGTGACAGTGGCCTTACCCAGTTTCTCAGCTCTAATAATAAAAAAAAAAAAAGCAAGAAGAGAGGCCTATGACAACTTACTTTGGCACTTCTGGTCCAGAAAGATGCTGGCCAATTGTCCTTGATTGAGAATGTCCAAGAATGTCTGCTGGGACTGGCCTGTCACTTGGGCCAGGGTCAACCCCTCAGCGATAGTTGCCATGAAGCTCCCCTGGACCATGTTCACAATCAGCATCATTTTGGCTGCATTGCCAACCTCACCTGCCCAGGGCAAAGAATCATGGTCACTTCCCAAGATTCCGACAGGCAGGGACTTTCTATCCCCCTCATCCCTGCTCAGACCCACCTCTACAACCAGGGAAGACCCCATTCACCTGCCCCTGACAGAACTGGCTCTGACCCTCTGGTTCTTCCTCCTTCCAGGCACTGACTGTGCAAATCAAAGAAAACCTTCCCACAGGGGCCCCAGGCTGAAAGGCCATGTGGAATTGACGTTGTCATCAGTGCAGTCTAGGGGGAATGTGGCCCAACAGGTGGGCAGGTATGTTACCTAGAAAGAAGGAGGTCTTCCCCATTGCCTGGAAGCAGCTGCTGCAGTCCTCATATAAGCCCCTGTCTCCGGCTGCTAAGATCACCAACATCCCATCATTAGACAGCTGCTGGTTCCCTGAGACTGGGGCTTCCAGAAAGCGGCCCCCCCTGGACACAATCACCTGGAAAGGAAAGTTACAGCTTCTGGAGTCCTTGCCTCTCTCACGGGTCTCAGGCAGGGAGCAAAGAGGGTCCTTGGGTGGAAGTACTTGGCCCTCCACATGGAAGCCCCAAAGCCGACATCTGTACAAAGGTGCTGGACTAACGCTGGGAGGGTCAGCAGATATCCTCCAACAGATGCCTGACTCACATGTAGTAAAGAGAGAGGCTAGGCTCCTCATAAGTTCCCATTTACTCTGAATTTCTTATAAAGACCAGAGATTATAACCAAACATGGCCGTGCCAACTGCTTGGTTGTCTACACCTCCTATGAACACCGCCCTTCCCGGACTTCACTCTTTGAACACACACGAGCCAGAAGTCACCACTCCCTCACTTGGGCCCAGCAGCTCAGGCAGGAGGAATACTCTGCAGATAGATGCTTAAACCAAAAAGGCTGTGCTGACAGCCTGGACTGCTTCTCACTGTGAGGCTGGCAACTATGGGATCTATGCCCATCACAGCTAGGCAGCATCTCTCATGGCCACTTAGATTAACTGTGACTTTGAAGGTAGAGAATGAAGACAGGCTAGTCCCAAGGCTACTGGCCTCACTTCTCTCTCTGGCTTTGGCTCTAGAGCAGTGGTTCTCAACCTTCTGGCCCTTTAAATACAGTTCCTCATGCTGTGACCCAACCATAAAATTATTTTCGTTGCTACTTCATAACTGTAATGTTGCTACTGTTATGAATCGTAATGTAAATATCTGATATGCAGGATGGTCTTAGGCGACCCCTGTGAAAGGGTCGTTCGACCGCCAAAGGGGTCGCGACCCACAGGTTGAGAACCGCTGCTCTAGAGTAACCAAGTTGTCCACACTTGGGCATGGTCAGCTTAGGTCTTGGGATCCAACCAAAAGGATGCTGGAGGGCCAGCCTGAACAAGGCTGCTACCTGGGCCAGCTCGGTGACTGTGTCAGCATCCACTGTTGACATGTCCACGTAGCACTTTCCGGGACGGATCCCTTGCAGTACACCACTGGGGCCCAGCACCAGCTGTGGGGACACAAGGGAGAAGCAATAGCCCAGGCCCCCAGCCAGATACCCAGGAACCCCTTAGACCCAAAGTCAGAATTTATTTGCTTTTTTGGTTCATTTCCTGATAAGGAGCTAATAAATATTAAGGCTGAAAAGGGAAAAGCAAGTAAATAAGCAAGGGAAAGAAAAGTACTTCTAGTATGTTCCCATTTATCTTTAAAAATAGTAAATTTCTATTAAAAACTTCCCATTTAAAAGATGGAATCTCAGTGTTTCAGTTTTGGGGCTTCTTTGGATCTACTTGGATTAGACTAGTCACCAGTTTAACAAGATGACTACTGCACTTGAACTTTTAAAACATACAAATACAGTGATAGCCAAACATAGGAACTTGGCACATAGACCAAAAGCACACCCAGCCCCAAAGCTTCCAGCTCAATAAGAATATACCACAGACCATTTTAGAAGACCTCAGGGATCCTAGCCATTTTCATTCTTTGTTCTGAATTAAAGGAAGTCTGTATTCAATTTATACAAACACCCTTCACAATGGGAGATGGCCCCCAGATGGGAAATTCAACCCCCCACATGCAGACACTCACTCCGTATGCAGGGGAGAAGGGGAGGAGGCCAGCCAGCTTTCCTGGCCACAATCTGAGACGCTGAGGGGAGGGAGGGGATCCTTACATCCTTGGCCGCCTTTGGATCCGACACACAGGCAAAGGTGATGTCACAAGTTGAAACAACTTCAGCGGGGGTTCTTCCTAGGCGGGCCCCCTCCTGGATGAACAAATCACACTGCAAAAGTCACAGATCCTAACGTGAGCTGCAGGCATTGCACAACAAACACGACAGCCAGGCCAGAGATACGGTGCCCAGTCCTCCTGGCTGGCCTCCCAAGGCAGGAGACTGAGGCTGAGGATGGGAGCCCCGGACACCAGAGCTGGTGGTCTGACTTTTTGGGGGAAGTGGATGGGGCTTCTTCAGGACTGTCTTGTGTTTTCACATACTTGGTGCCTAGATGATGTTTTACTTCACAGTAAGCACAAAACAAGTGTCTGCCGAAGGATTCCTGTTTGAAGACAGGATGTAAACAGTGCCTGTTTGCAGCCCTGCATTATCAGCACTGTGCTAGGGAAGCAGGGCTGGGGCTGGGAGGCTGCCATCCCTTACTATGATGTTTCTGGGGGTCTGAAAACACTATTTTAGTGCATTACCCTTTTCCAAAGGCATTTAAAAAGTAATTAGAATAACTTGAACCTACTATTTTGTATCCAACGTTTAATATTTTGTAAGGCCCTAACCGGTTTGGCTCAGTGGATAGAGCATCGCCCTGCGGACTCAATGGTCCCAGGTTTGATTCCGGTCAAGGGCATGTACCTTGGTTGCGGGCACATACCCAGTAGGGAGTGTGCAGATCGATGTCTCTCTCTCATCGATGTTTCTAACTCTCTATCCCTTTCCCTTCCTCTGTGTAAAAAATCAATAAAATATATTTAAAAAAGTATTTTGTAAGGCTTACATTTATCCATATTGTCTCTCATTATTATCACTTACAATGAATGGCTGTAAAATATTCCATCAAGAGACATATCTGGATTTACCTAATGGCTCCGCTGCAGTTTGACATTTGGACTGCTTTTAATTATAAATGACTCCAACAAATATCCTTATGTTTTCAATTTAGACTTCTAAGAATAAAACAGGCTCAAATGGTTTTCATGCTCTTAATAAATGTAGACAAATGGTTTTTCAATAGGGCTGAGAATATATAATGATCACCAACAAGGTCTCAAATCACCAGCACAGAGTACATCATTTAAAAACAACAATCAATCAAGCATACATAAATACATTAAAATTTTATCCTACTTGATTTAACCAGCTAAAAATAGCAACTTTTACCTGATCTATTTTGATTACTCCTGATAAACCTTTTAAATACTTTTGTTTTTAAATTGTTTACTCTTCTGTAAGCTACTTCTTTATTTAATAATTCTTTATTATTGAAAGTATTACATATGTCCCCTTTTTTCCTCCCTTGACCTCCTCCAGACCCCCCACCCTCCCAGGCCTTCAGCACCCTATTGTCTGTGTCCATGGGTTATGCATATATGCAAACAAGGTCTGTGAGCTACTTCTTTTATATACTTTTTATCTTAAGAGTTATCAAACTATGTGTTTCATAAAATCAACATATCCTTTTCTATCATCTTTGCTATAAGCACTTTTAGTTGGTGTACCTTTCACTTTATTTTTTGTTGTGGGGAGTATTATTAAAAACTGTTCATCTTTTGTATGGTGCCAGGTGGGTACAGGGAATGTTATTGGGGGGAACATTGTAAAGTATATGATTGTCTAAACACTATGTTGTATATCTGAAACTAATACAAAAATAATACTGAATGTAAATTATAATTGAGAAAAAGAAAAAAAAACTACATATCTTTTTCTTTAGTGATTCTGATTGTGTCTTAGGCTTAGAAAGATCTATGTTAATATTTAGTTGTCTTTCCTTTTTTAAAAAATATTTTTTTATTGATTTTAGAGAGAGGGAGGGAGAGAAACATGGATGAGAGAGAGAGAGAATGGACATGAGAGAGAAACATCAATCGGATGCCTTCTGCACACCCCCTAATGGGGATGGAGCCTGCAACCAGGTATGTGCTCTGATCAGGAATCAAACGCTCAAACTTTCAGTGTATGGGATGATGCTCATAGGCCACATAGGCCAGGGATATTTAGTTTTATTTCCTTCTGGTTTTTCCTTTGGAAAAAAATGTAGTAATCTATCTGGAATATATTTTATTATGTGGTAAGAAGTGAGATTAATATTTCCTCCAATTTCTAACCAGTTGTTCTGAACATACTTACTGACCAACCCTTCTTCAACATCACTGATTCACAGTGCAATGGCTCTATCAGAGGAAGTCCTAGGCTTTCTGGGCTACCTGGTAGGTCTGTGTCTTTATTATAGCACACATGTATCTTGGTGAATTCACATTATTATGTTTTCACATTTGCTTGAGAGAAGACCTCCTCATTACTGAAAATTTTAAAATGTTTCATCTTTTTCCCAGAAGGACCACAGGATTATGTATTTATTTATTAAAAAAATATTTTTATTGATTTCAGAGAGGAAGGGAAAGGGAGAGAGAAAAACATCGATGAGAAAGAATCATTGATGAGCTGCCTCCTGCATGCCCCCAACTGGGGATTGAGCCCGCAACCAGGGCATGTGCCCTTGGCTGGAATCGAACCTGGGACCCTTCAGTCCACAGGCCGACGCTCTATCCACTAAGCCAAACCAGCTAGGGCGGAATCATTTTTATTAAGATCCTTTTATAAAAATTCCATGGGGACTGTCATAAGGATTAAATGGCTTTTCAAAGATGACATTTACTAATAACTTGTGCCAGGCACTGTGCTGAGTACTTTACATCATCTCATTTAACCTTCACACCCCCATGAAGTTGGGCTTTTGCTGTCCATCATTTTACAGATCTAGGGAGGTAAACTATTTCACTGAAGCCCTAGGGCAAGCAGCAGAGTGTGACTTGGACTAGGTCGGCCCTACTCCAAACCTAAGTTCTACCTGCTTTGCTCTCCTGCCTTCCTGTAAATGAATCAGGAAGGAATGGCCTTGTTTATAACATTTCTGCATTTTAATCAGGAAAACAGGAAGACCAGAGGCACTTCTATCAAAGGGGAATGTACTTATAAGCAAACCCCCTGGTTCTCCTGATGTTCTGCCACTGTGTACATCTAGATTTCCTGACTATTCTAGCCTTGAATCACAAACTACCCTGTCGATGAAGCCTGAGGTCCACTCCTGACTTAGGTCCCCACAGTGCCCAGCACCTGAAGCAATCCCTTAGCACGGCCTTCAGTGCCCTCTTCAACTCAACCCATTTTTGTTATTCTTGAAAAGGACTTTGTTTCAGCAAAGTGAATTTCTTACTTTGCTAGAACATTTTTGTTAACCCAAATACATCAGCTCCGCCAACTCCTTCAGCAATCACACCTTATTTCAGCTCTCACCTGTGCACATAAAGAGACATGCACCCAGTCATTTCACAAATACATGCTCAGCCACACCTTGTTCCTCAAGAAGCCGGTCCTTTCTCAGTCTTTCTTTTGTTCCTGGCAAGTACAGTGTTTAATTTCCTGGTACTCAGATGACAGTTCTTCATCTTTTCTTGAATGACAACTTGATGGGAGCCAGGGCCTCCATTACAAAAGGTACACATTAACAGCTTTGGAATTCCAAGGCAGGGCCACACAGACCCATGGAAGCTGTGGGCTGCCACCTTAGGTTAAGAATTTCTAAATGTGTTCTGTCCAATATGGTAGCCACTAGCCAAATAGGATTACTTATTTTTGTTAATCCTCACTACCAATGACATTTTTTCCATTGATTTTTAGAGAGAGTGGAAGGGAGGGGGAGAGACAGAGAGACACACTGATGTGAGAGAGACACATCAATTGGCTGCCTCCCGCACGTGTCCCGATTGGGGCCAGGGATTGAGCCAGCAACCTAAGTACATGCCCTTGACCTGAATCAAACCTGGGACCCTTTAGTCCACAGGCCGACGACTTAACCACTGAGAAAAACTGGCTAGGGCCAAAGGGAAATATTTTTAAAAAAAATATATTTTATTGATTTTTTTACAGAGAGGGAGAGGGATAGAGAGTTAGAAACATCAATCAGCTGCTTCCTACACACCTCCTACTGGGGATGTGCCCGCAACCAAGGCACATGCCCTTGACTGGAATCGAACCCGGGACCCTTCAGTCTGCAGGTCGACGCTCTATCCACTGAGCAAACCGGTTAGGGCCAAAGGGGACTATTTTAATTTAAGTGAAATAAAATTAAAAATTCAATTATTTAGTTGTACTAGCCTTGATTCAAGTATTCAAGAGCCACATGTAAGCCACTGTGCCCAGCAGGGCAGGCTGTGCCCACAGGCTCAGCACACAGGCCACAGGAATCCTAGAAGGCCAGTCCTTGCTGACAATGACTATGGGCTGCCGGGTTTTGTGATAGAGGTGGGATGGGACCCTTCATTAATATTTGACTTTAATAAGTGGGTAAGGATATATTTTTTTGTCTATGTTCTGTTTCAACTTAAGTAGATTATTATAAATTGATGTAAACCACGTGAGAGGAAAATGTTAAAAAAATGCAAAGCCCCTCCTCCCCCAAAAAAGAGCCCCATGTGGTTAGTGACTACCAAACTAGATAGTGCAGATACAGAACATCATCACAGCAGAATGCTGTATGCACAGCTAACACAATCCAACTGAATACAGTACAGTCACTGAAAAGGATGTTGTAGATCTATCTACACACATTCCTTACCAATGACTTCATAATATACGCTCGTATTTTGTGAACATGGAAAAAAGGGTGCAAACACCTAACATGGGCTAGCTCGGGTAATAGCAGAGAGGGAGGAATTTTCCTTTTTTATTTTTGTTAATCCTCACCCAACAATATTTTTCCCATTGCTTTTTAGAGGGAGGGAGGGAGGGAAAAAGGGAGAGAGAAAGAGAGAGAGAGACAGAGAGAGAGAGAGAGAGAGAGAGAGAGGAATCGAACCTACAACACTTTGGTGTGGAAGGCAATGCTCCAACCACTGGGCAACACCCACCAGTGCAAATTTTCACTTTGTTTTATATTCCTGGGTATCTATCTTCTATAATAATAAAAGCATAGTATGCTAATTAGACCAGACATCCTTCTGGACGACCTTCTAGACGAAGCCGGGGCTGCGAGGGAAGCCGGTGGCGGCAGCCGGGGGAAGGAAGGCCTACTCTTGCACAAATTTCGTGCCTCTAATTTTTTAAAATAAATAAATACACACACACACATACACACATTTTTTACTCAGTTTAGAGAGAGAGGAAGGGAGAGGGAGAGTAACATTGATGAGAGAGAGAAACATTGACTAGTTGTATCCCACAAGCACCCTGATTGGGGATCAAATACGAACCTGGGTATGTGCCCTGAGTGGAAATCAAACCAGCAACCTTTCAGTGCACGGGATGATGCTCAACCAACTGAGCAACACTGGCCATGGCACCCCTGGATACTTTTAAATATTTAGTTTCTATACTAATACTCTAAGCTTATTTGTCTACATATCTACCTGCTTGAATAATAGTGTGGCTCCTCCTACTCTACCACCTGCAGAATGCTGAGTGAAGACATCAGGAAGACATTCCCATTTTTAGTTAACCCAACTCCATGGGTCAAGGTTTGTTCCCTCCCTGTCTGACAAGCACCACTCATTAATGCTTACTTTTTCTGCAGTCCGGTTCCAGACAGTCACCGTGTGACCCATTTTTAATAAGTTGGAGACGATGCCACTTCCCATCAGGCCGAGGCCCAAAAATCCTATCCTGAAAAAGAGAGAAACTGATTAGTTTGGGGAGGAGTGGAAGGGACAGGGTAAGGTATCCTGAATGCAGCACAGACTCTGCTTCCTCATAAACCTGGGGTGGGATCTCAGACCACCAGAACCGTCGCTCAGCGGTGTTCTGACACCACGAGCACTGAGCTAGATGTGGCGCATGCAGACTGTGCCTTTTCTTATTATGCCATCGCTTGTGTCCCTAGATTTAAAAGGGCATTTCTAAACCCTTGACTGCCACAGAAAGAATTACGACATTTTTCGTTTAGGTGTTTCAAATCATTTCCTTGATGCTTTGATAGAGAGTCTGAGCTTACAATTCCGTAACAGTGAGAAAGCAGACATTTGTCTCCGGCTTTGCAAGAGTTTTGAGTTCTAGGTCTTCAGATGCCTCTTGAAAGCACATCAGGATCCATGACAAGTAACTGAAGTGTCAGAGCCAGCCACCTTCTTCAACTGCAGAAATCTGGGTCCCAGTCTTCCCCCCCCTCTCCAGGCTCCAAACCTATGCTACCTTTGCATTCTTTCTATCAGCAGAGACAAGCCATGTCTCTCTTCTTCAAAGCTTTGCCTGAGCTTTGGAGCCAAACTTTCCCAGGGCACGAATTCTTCCCAAATCTGCCTTCTCCTGCACCTTTTCCCCATCACCACTGTCTGCTGGCCCACCCCTCTCTGCTCTCTACCACACCCTTCTAATTGCAGGCCCATTATGATCCTTTTTCATGCTCTGTGTACCTTCACTTCCTATAGCCTGCTTCTTTCTGCAACCCCAAGAACTTGGGGACTGCTGCTTTTACAGATGATTTTACCCTGCCCAAATGTCTTTTCTTGGTTCCTATATTTCTTTATTATCTCTCCTGGCATGTGACTTGACTCAACTATGCCTCTTTCTTCATTTCTTATTACATTATGTTGTAGTTTTCACCTCGGGCTTTCTCTCAGCTCTGGACACACTCTGCAGCTTTTCCACTTTGACCTGTGTTATCCTTTCAGTATTTTTGGTCTCTGGTGAGACATCTGCAGCCACTTCTGCAAATTGGCTTTTCTACTCAGTTTCCCCTAATCCTTGCTGGAATACGCACTTCTCACACTCTGTTCCAGACAGCAGTTATTAGAATCAAATGTAAAAAATGGAACAGGATCTGAATAGAGACACTTCTCCAAAGAGGAAAGAGATATGTCCAATAGACATATGAAAAAATATGAAAAAACGCTCAAGGTCACTAATCGTCAGGAAGATGCAAATTAAAACTCCAACAAGGTATCACCTCACACTTGTCAGAATGGCTATCATCAATAAATCAACAAACAACAAGTGTTGGCTAGGATGCGGAGAAAGGGAACCCCAGTGCACTGTTGGTGGAAATGTAGACTGGTGGAACCACTGTGGAAAACAGTATGTAGTTTCCTCAAAAAATTAAAAATGGAACTGCCTTTTGACCCAGCAATTCTACTTCTGGGTATATATATCCTAAGAATCCTTAGTAACGCAGCCTTATCTACAATAGCCAAAATCTGGAAACAGGCCAAGTGCCCATCAGTAGATGAGTAGATAAAAAAGTTGTGGTACATTTACACAATGGAATACTTACTATGCGGCTATAAAAAAGAAGGAATTCTTACTTTTTGCAACAACATGGATGGACCTGGAGATTACTATGCTAAGTGAAATAAGCCAGTCGGAGAAAGACAAAGACTATATGATCTCACTAATATGTGGAATCTAATGCACAAAATAAACTGATGAACAAAATAGAACCAGAGGCATAGATACATGGAACAGACTGACAAATGTCAGTGAGGAGGGGAGTGGGTGACTGGATAAATGAAGGTGAAGGGATTAGCTAAAGAACATATATGCATAGCCCATGGACATGGATAATAGTTTGGTGAGGACTGGGGTGGGGGAGGGGGGCTACAGGGGCTGGGTGGAGGTGGGCAAAGGGGGGTGAAATGGGGGACATCTGCAATAGGTCAACAATAAAATATTTAAATTTTAAGAAAAGAAAATGGGAACCTATCACCTTCCTCACCAAATAGTGCCCTGTCCACTAAGTTTTAAGCCAAAGCATAAAAACAAGATCTTTTGTCATTCACAGTGATATGGGTAGTGTAAGTTTTCCCTATGATTCTAAATCATGAGGACTAATTCTTTTCCCACTTCTTGGTGTTTGTTCTAGGATACCCAGCAGACCTGGGGATGAAGCTTCTGTTTTTTTAACATGGCAACTAACAGTCCTTCATGGTGCCCTTGAGATAAGATGGAGAATGTAGACTAAGTGGATTAAGAACAATACAGCTGATTAGCTTTAGTTGGCTTCATATTCAGGTTAAAAAAGTATTTTACTATACGGGCAATACAGGCCTTGGGTGAAAGCATTGGGACTATACTCAACCTGCCCTAGTTTTTAAAAATTAAAAACAACACAATCCTCATCAAATGAATGGGTGACACCCATCTCCCTTTTTATCTATATATTAGAGGCTCGGTGCACGAAATTCATGCACAGGTAGGGTCCCTAGGCCTGGCCGGCAATCAGGGCTGATTGGGGCCTTCCGGCTGCTGGCCGGAGTCTTCCACACACACACACACACACACACTAGTAGAAGATATCTATATACATAAAAGCCTAAGCGACCGTTACGACTGGTCAACCAGTTGCTATGACATGCACTGACCACCAGGGGGACAGACACTCAATGCAGGAGCTGCCCCCTGGTGGTCAGTACACTCCCACAGCCAGCCAACCTCCCCGTCCCTCCCCGCAGCCGGCAAACCTCCTGCGGTCCCTCCCCGCATCTGGCAGGTTGCATCCGGCAGCTGGCAGGTTGTATCCAGCAGCCGGCCTGGCCCCAATTAGGACTGGGCAAGATGGCCCCGATAGGCCCTGATCGCTGGCCAGACCTAGGGGCCCCACCCGTGCACAAATTTTATGCACCGGGCCTCTAGTCTATATATATAAAAGGCTAATATGCAAAGTGTCCCCTTGCGATTTTGATCGGGAGACCGGGAGTTTGATCACTCTCTATGACGTGCTCTGACCACCAGGGGGGAGAGTGGAACATGGTGGGCGACCAACAGCAGCAGCAGGGTGCTGAAGGAGCAAGGGAAAGAGGAGGTGGGAAGGAGGGGAGGCGGGGAACCTGATCAGCCCTGATCGCCAGCCAGACCTAGGGACCGTACCCGTGCACGAATTTTGTGCACTGGGCCTCTAGTATATATATAAAAGCTTAAGCGACTGGTCGACCAATCGACTGGCAGGTAGCTATGACACGCACTGACCACCAGGGGGCAGACACTCAATGCAGGAACTGGTGGTCAGTGCACTCCCACAGTGGGAGCGCCGCTCAGCTGACCGATGGGTAGTAGACGCATGGCTGGCGAGTGCTGCCATGGTGGCACAAGCCTCTCCTGCCTCTGCAGCGGCGATGGCAGGCGCAGCGGGGCCAGGATGAGTGGGAGCTGTGCCGCAGCTACCTACCACTTCGTGCACTACTACATACCCTGAGGGTCCTGCATTTTGAGAGGGCGCAGGCCAGGCTGAAGGACCCCACTGGTGCACGAATCTGTGCACCAGACCTCTAGTTAGTATATAATATGCCTCTATCTCCTCCACTCTACAAAGAGAAGTCACCCCAAAAAACTGGTAGAATCAGTGATTTCAATAGAACAAAAAATTAGGACTGAAGTAAAAGATGCATTGTTTTTAGGCTGCAAAAGAACCTTTTGGAAGACACAGACAGGAAATTCAGACTTGGTTATCTTGCTCAGGAGAATGTTCTTAAGCAAAAAACCCTTTTCATCGTCACGACTCTAAAAACACAACTGGCCAGAGTAAGGGCAAAGGTGAGCATGGGTACAAGCTAAGGTTTGGGGACCATAGTCAAGGCTCTCCAACCTGCCTGAGCAGGACAGAGAGCAGCAGGCAGGTGTATGAGAAGGATCGGAAGGTGACTGCAGGGAGAGCCAGGGAGGGCAGGATATTCTAAATATCTTCATCTCTCATCCTCCACAGTCAAATTCAGGATTTTCATCACAGTTCTACTAAGCTAGGGGATTCACAAATGTGGTCTCCTGACTAGCAGCAGTAGCAATATCTGGGAACTTGTCCAAAATACAAATTTTAAGGATCCACCCCAGACCCACTGAGAAAACCCCAGGGGTCGGTCCAACAATCAGGGCTTTACTAACAGCCTTCCAGGTGATTCTGAAGCATAGGAAAGTCTGAGAAGCATAGAGCCGAGCATTCCCTGCTCACAAACTCACATTTAAGGGCATACATCTAAAGACAACTTCTGTCTTCTGCAAGGCAATTTACTCCTAGACAAATCATCATCAGTAAGGATTACAACTTTCTTCCTTTCTTCACATTCAGTTCTAGCAATGACTGGAGCATAACCTTTAAAGAGCCCCCTTGGGGTCATCCCTCACCCCTCAGCAGAACCAAAGAAATCTTTTCACCAAAGGCCCTACTTTTTGTCTGTGGGTGTGATGCTGCCATTCACGGCCGTACTGTCTGCTGCCTGGATGGAGGTAGACCCCGTCTCCTAGGGAAAGGAAGCACAAAGCATCAGGTCAGGCTGCCCATGGCAAGGCCCCAGTGGAAGATAAAAATGAGGAGGTGTGGAATCTACGTACCTCTTCACATATTTTCAACTTCTTTGTGATGGCCTGGTAACAGACAGCTGGCTAATAAAGAGGGAGGAAAAAACACACCACTTATTAAACTGAACGCTTAACCATTCTTCATTATAATTTACCTAAAAAGTTAGGCCTAATGTGGGATGCTAACATCAAAATCTTATTTGATGTTCAATTTTATTGAACATTCCAGATGACACAGAAAGTTAACACACATTACCTCATTCAATTCTCCATGCAACTGTGCAAGATCCTTTTGTTAACAATGACATTAAGAATCAGAGGCGGCCGAAACCGGGTTTGGCTCAGTGGGTAGAGCGTCGGCCTGCGGACTGAAGGGTCCCGGGTTCGATTCCGGTCAAGGGCATGTACTTGGGTTGCGAGCACATCCCCAGTAGGAGATGTGTGGGAGGCAGCTGATCGATGTTTCTTTCTCATCAATGTTTCTAACTCTCTATCTCTCTCTCCCTTCCTCTCTGTAAAAAATCAATAAAATATATTAAAAAAAAAAGAATCAGAGGCGGCCCTAAATGGTTTGGCTCAGTGGATAGAGCGTCGGCCTGTGGACTGAAAGGTCCCAGGTTCGATTCCGGTCAAGGGCATGTACCTTGGTTGTGGGCACATCCCCAGTAGGAGGTGTGCAGGAGGCTGATCGATGTTTCTCTCTCATCAATGTTTCTAACTCTCTATCCCTCTCCCTTCCTTTCTGTAAAAAAATCAATAAAATATTTTTTTAAAAAAGAAAAGAATCAGAGGCGTTTAGTCACTCGCCCAGAATTACAGTGTTGGTCTGTGTAACCGTGTTTGGAACCCAGCTCTGTCCAACTTCAAAGCTACATCCTATCAGCAGATCCTATCAAGGCTTGGCCTAACCCAGTGGTCGGCAAACTGCGGCTCGTGAGCCACATGCGGCTATTTGGCCCCTTGAGTGTGGCTCTTCCTAAGCCTTAGGAGTACCCTAATTAAGTTAATAACAATGTACCTACCTATGTAGTTTAAGTTTAAAAAATTTGGCTCTCAAAAGAAATTTCAATCGTTGTACTGTTGATATTTGGCTCTGTTGACTAATGAGTTTGCCGACCACTGGCCTAACCCCATACCTTGCAGTCACTTCAGAAAACTTTCCCTCCACACCTGGAGGCTATGGAGACTATCTACCCAGCAGCATAGGCTACCTCACAGGTGGCTGACAGCTCACGAGTTTTGGTTTCTGCCCTAGACTCTGAAGGCAATCACAAATGTCTCAATCACACAGCTGACAAGTTTTAAAAGCTTTTTTGGGGGGGGGGGTATCTATAATAATAAAAGCATAATATGCTAATTAGACCGGACATCTTTCCGGACAAAGCTGGGGCTGTGAGGGAAGTCCGGGTCCTGGGTCCCTGCAGGCAGCTGGAGGGAAGCCCGAGTCCCAGGTGCCAGAGGGAAGCCAGTGCCAGCAGCGGGTGGAAGGAAGGCCTACTCTTGCATGAATTTCGTGCATTGGGCCTCTAGTTTTTAATATTAACAACACCCAATTCATGAGTGAGCCCCTATGTGACTTTTATTAGTAACTTGCTGCTTTGGGCAGTGGTACAGGCAGAGCCTAACTGTTCAGACTAGTAAGGTGAGGTTCCAATGGACAACACTCTCCTTTAGGCCAGCTCCTGACCAAGGATCAAGAACTTCAAAGAACAGCCCTGACCCGTTTGGCTCAGTGGATAGAGCGTCGGCCTGCGGACTGAAGGGTCCTGGGTTCGATTCTGGTCAAGGGCATGTGCCTTGGTTGCCGGCACATCCCCAGTGGGGGGTGTGTAGGAGGCAGCTGATCGATGTTTCTCTCTCATCGATGTTTCTGGCTCTCTATCCCTCTCCCTTCCTCTCTGTAAAATATCAATAAAAAAAATATATAAAAGTACTTCAAAGAACAACTCACCTTCTCGGTTTGGCTGAGCAGGAAGTGATGGAAATGAGGGTCTGCATCTTTAACAGGCTGAAACCAGAAAATTATTAAAACAAATTATCTTCCACCAAAGACCCCTTCCTTCTGCCTGGTAACTGCTTTCCTCTGGCTAAACACCCCAGGGAGCTGGCCCTAATTTTATAACTGGCTGGAAACACTTTTCCCATTGTTGATCTAAGCCTTTTGTAAACAACGTCTGTTCCAGCTAAAGGAAAACTGGCTTCAGTAGATATTTCTGCCTGGTTGGTATACGAATTATTCCAATAACAGCATGGGAAAATATTTAAAAGGCATACTAATATTTTTAAGGTCCAGCATTCTCACTAGTCATGTTGGATAACACAGCTGACAAAGGCAAATCAATTTTGAGGGCTCTTTTCCAATTTTAGGGTTTTGGCCTACTTGTGTCTGGTACCAGACCTTTGATTGTTTTCATCTCATTGAGGGCCGATATTTATAGAAATAAAATGACAACAACTGCAGGCCTTTCATAATTAGGCTCAGTAACAGGGAAAGGGTGCTACTATATCAAGGATAGAATAACGTGTGGCTACTAAACATCAAAGTTTTACATACAGACAGTGAAAGGGTGTTTATAAAACATCAAGTGAAAAAAAAACCTGCAGATGATCCCACTTTTGCGAAAAATAACCCTAGCCCCAACAACACAAACTATATACTGGTATGTAATTAATAAATGATGGCTAATGGGTGTATCAAAGGGGCTGAAATAAGTTGTATAAACTTAACAGTGAGCACCTGAGAGTGGAAACTTGCATTCTTTACCACATACTCCTCTGTACTGTTTGATAATTTTTTTTTTTTTTAAAAAAAAAGCAGCTTCACATACACAAAAAGGAGGAAAAGGAAAAAAAGTGTATAGCAGCCACGCCAGGAAATCAGCTCTGAGGCCAACCTTGAACTGGCCCACAGGAGAGATCCTTACCTCATTCACAGTTGGCTGCCATTTAAATGCAGCCATGGGTCCGGCCATCATCCCCTTAATGGTACTAGACTCAGGAATGGTGAGATCCTACAGAGAGAAAGGCATATTGTCAAGACACTGTGGGACCTTGATAGATGTGTTCTTGCCCCAAACTGGAAAGCAACTTTTCATTGGTCTGCTTCCTTCAGTCACATTCCATCCACACTAAACACCTAGCCCATCCTGGCAGGTGTTGCTCAGGGGTTAGAGCGTCAGCCTGTGCACTGAAGGGTTGTGGGTTTGAATCCTGGTCAGGGGCATGTACCTGGGTTGCAGGTTTGATCCCTGCCTTGGTTGGGGCGTGTGTGGAGAGCAGCCCATCTATGTGTCTCTCTCACATCGATGTTTCTCTCCTCTCTCTCTCCCCCCTTCCCCCCACCCCTTCCACTTTCTAAAAAATAAAAATCAATGGAAGGAGTATCCTTGGGTGAGGATTAAAAAAACAAAACAAAACAAAAAAACAACCAGCCCAGCCGGCATGGCTCAGTGGTTGAGCATCAACCTATGAACCAGGAGGTCATGGTTCGAATCCCAATCAGGACACATTGCATGGGTTGCGGGCTCGATCTCTAGTGTGGGGCATGCAGGAGGCAGCCTCTCAATGATTCTCTCTCATCATTGATGTTTCTATCTCTCCTTCTCCCTTCCTCTCTGAAATAAAAAATACATTTAAAAATAAATAAATAAATAACAAAAAAACCCTAGCCAGCTCTATGGTCTCAGCATCAGTTCAAGCCCATGTCCCCAGCCAGGTTCTGATGACAGTCCATTGGGAGAACCAGGGAAAGTTCTCATCAACACAGAGTGAGCTTTTATTCTCTGTTCTTGAAATAACAAAACATATTCTGGTGTGTGATGGAGAGAAAAGCCCAACTATGTCTGCAGTGTTGTTAGAGAAAATTCGCCTCCAACTAGTATCCCTTATGGCGAATAATAAACATTATTAAGAAAATAGTACAGGCTTCAGAAGGAATCCACTAATCTCTAAAAACAAAACAAAACAAAACAAAACAACCACCTAAAAAAGTCACATGGAGCTCATGAGGAAATCTGCCCAACATTTTTCAGGACTAAGTGACAAAGCCGGAACTGGAACTCAGGGTGGTCTGGAGCCAAGATCCCCACTCTCCCCAGATTGATGCAAGGAAAGGACCCAGCGGAGTAAGGCTGCTGCTCCTCTTTATTAAGGGCCTGGCCCACACCCGTTCTAGGCAAAGAGGCACTGTTCGTTCCAGCTTTACAACTGGTCTGTTCCTTTCCCTCTACCTCTGACGTTACCGCCTCCTCCCTTTCTCCATCTGCTATCTTCCAGCCACAGTGGCCCTCCCGACATTTCTACTTGGATATCAAATGGGAATCTTGACATGCTCAACTGAACTCTTGATTTCCCCGCCCAAACGGCTTCTTCTACAGTTTTCTCAATCTCTGAAACAGCAACTCCATTTACTACCAGGCCAAGGTCCTTGGAGTCCTTCTCGATTCTACCCTCCTCTCTCCTCTAATCCATCAACAACGATTATGGCTTTATAAATGGGAACGTGCAACCCCTTCTTTTGAGTGCCCCCACTACTAACACCCAAGGATCAGGCTGCCATTGCCTATCACCCGGACTGTAGCAAAAGGAATCTCTCTGCTTCTGTACAGTCTAGTCTATACACAGCAGCCAGAGTGAAGCATGATACTTCTCTGCCTAAAACTGACATACTGTCTCACATGGTCAAGCTAGAGGCTTTTATTGTGGCCTATGGCGCCCTAGATGTGCTGCAACCCCACTCCATGCTAATCTCCAACCTAATGTCCTATTACTTTCTCTCCCGCCCACCAGTACCCCCATGGCCCTCCACCTCCATTCCCCAAAACACCACACATGCAAATACTCTAGTGCCTTTGCACTGCTGGGTATGCTCTTCCAAGTTGGTTCATATGCTCACTTTAGGTCTCCATTGAAATGTCACCTTATCAGAATGCTTTCCCTCATCTCTCTGTATTTTCCTCCATTGGAACGTGATGCTGATTACTATAATGACAACAAATGCTTTTACAGGGCTTACCATATGCCAGACATTAGAGTGCTATTTATATGTATATTCTCACATAATTGTCACAACCTCATGAAATAGAACTATTATCATCTCCATTTTACAGAAGAGAAAACTGAGACAGAGAGCTTAAGTATGCTTGCCTGAGGTCACAGAGCTAATAATGAGTATGGTAGATGAAATTTAAACTCAGGGAATTTGGCTTCAGAATCTATGTTATTATAAGTAAGTTCTATGAAAGTAAGAATGTCACCAATTTTGTTTACTTTATATATCCCATGCTGGGAACCATTCCTGGCGCATAGTTGGTGTTCAATATTTACTAGTATTGAAGAAATGAACACGATAGGGGCCTTGTCTTTCATGCTGCTTTATCTCTAGATACTTGTTGAATATAGAGGTTTGAGTAAAAGAGGTCTAGTGGCAAAAATAATTTTCTGCCATGATGAACATGCCCTATGCCTGTACTAATACTATAGCCAATAGTCACAAGTCCACCATGGAGCACCTGATACGTGGCTAGTGTGACTGAGAAACGAAATTTTAAATTGTATTTAATTTACATGTAAACGGTCACCTGTGACTAGGGGCAGTGCAGCTTTAATGACTTGCCTAAGACCAGTGGTTCTCAACCTTCTGGCCCTTTAACCCTTTGCGGTCCAAGGTTATTTTTGGAATTCAAACAGTCTGGTCCAAATTAATTGACGGGATTGAATGTGGAACTTTTTAATGTTCTTATTGCTCGACATTGGACCTGCTCCTAGCGCCTGGTCTGTCGAGTCAGCCTCGAGGTTGGACCGAAAAGGGTTAAATACAGTTCCTCATGTTGTGACCCAACCATAAAATTATTTTCATTGCTACTTCATAACTGTAATGTTGCTACTGCTATGAATCGTAATGTAAATATGATATGCAGGATTGTCTTAGGCGACCCCTGTGAAAGGGTCGTTCAACTGCCAAAGGGGTCACGACCCAGAGGTTGAGAACCGCTGCCTAAGACCAAAATGACAAATGAGAGTAAGGCAGAGAACACAGCTCTCCACCTAGCACTAACCAAAGGCCTTGACTCCTAAATCAGTGCTCTCTGCACTAGTCTGGGATTTTATTTTATTTTTAAATATATTTTATTGATTTTTCACAGAGTGGAAGGGAGAGGGATAGAGAGTTAGAAACATCAATGAGAGAGGAACATCGATCAGCTGCCTCCTGCACACCTCCTACTGGGGATGTGCCTGCAACCAAGGTACATGCCGTTGGCCGGAATCGAACCTGGGACCTTTCAATCTGCAGGCCGACGCTCTACCCACTGAGCCAAACCGGTTAGGGCTAGTCTGGGATTTTAGGAGAGCCACAGGACTGACAGTTTTATTCTGTCAGGGTGCTTTGTGCCCAGAGTTGTAGTTCTCAGCTAAAGACTTGGACGGATTTCTAGACACCTACGCGCAGCCTCTGCTTGCTTGCATGTAATTGACACCTCCACTATCAAGATCAGCCTTTTCTGTTAATTGTTACAGGATAGGAGATATGGCCCAGAATCGCCATCATTCGAGGCTTTGCCCAGTTATCATCCTTCGCTACTGCTTTCTGCTTCACAGAGGAGCTAGTCAGCCAAATGCCATTTCCTTATAGCAACACCAATACTCCTGTTAGACCCCAGGGTATCTATACTAATAAAAGGGTAATATGCTAATTAGACCGGGAGACCTTCCAGACGTCCTGGACAAAGCCATGGTGGCGGGGCCGAGGCAGAGGTAGTTAGGGGCAATCAAGCCGGCAGGGGAGGGCAGTTGGAGGCGATCAGGCTGGCAGGGGAGGGCAGTTGGGGGAGATCAAGCTGGCAGGGGGAGGCAGTTGGGGGTGATCAGGCTGGCGCAGGGGGGGCAGTTGGGGGCAATCAGGCTGGTGGAGGGGGGCGAGAAGGCCAGTGGGGGGAAAGTTGTGGGCAAGCAGGCCGGCAGGCAGAGTAGTTAGGGGCGATCAAGCAGGCAGGCAGGTGAGCGGTTAGGAGCCAGTGGTCCCAGATTGTTAGAGGGATGTCCCAGATTGGAGAGGGGGCAGGACGGGCTGAGGGACACCCCACCCCCCACACGAATTTCGTGTACCGGGCCACTAGTATCAGATCATAAGATACACCAAAATTCCAAACCCAAGCAGATTTCCTATATCTCTGAAGACACTTAATTAAAATCAATGGTGAGAACTGAAATCGCCATGTGTCCCCAGCACCACTAGCCATACTCTTTCCTTTCCTGACAAATCTTTCATTAGAGTCCAGGCCTAGCATGGAGATCTTATAGAAAAAAAAACTCCTAAAGATCAATAGCAGGTAGAACTCCTGGATGGAGACCTGGCTCTGAGAAAAGCGGTAGAAATATTACTCCCCCTTCCCCCCCAATTAATAATTCAGACCAAAGGGTAAACTGGGAGCTTGTGAGAAATTCCTCCCAGCAAGTCTGGCAGCGGTCTTGGGGTTGCAATAAACCAGTGCCCTCACTGCACAACAGGTTACTGCTGAAAAATATCAAAGGTATGACATTTATGCCCAGCCGACGTGGCTAAGTGGTTGAGTGTTGACCTATGAACCATGAGGTCATGGTTCAATTCCTGATGAGGGCACATGCTCCGATCCCCAGTGTGGGGTGTGCAGGAGGCAGCCAATCAATGATTCACTCTCATCATTGATGTTTCTCTCTCTCTCTCCCTCTTCCTTCCTCTCTGAAATCAATAGAAAAAAAAATCTTATATAATAAAAGTGTAATATGCAAATTGACCAAATGGAGGAATGACTGGTCACTTTGACATGCACTGACCATCAGGGGACAGACGCTCAACAAGGAGCTGCCCCCTGGTGGTCAGTGCACTCCCACAGGGGGAACAATGCTCAGCCAGAAGCCCTGCTCACAGCTGGCAAGTGCAGCAGTGGTGGTGGGAGCCTCTCCTGCCTCCGCTGCAGGCGGGTGGTAAGGAGCGAGGGGTCCCGGACTGAGAGAGGGCACAGGCCAGGCTGAGGGATCTCCTCCCCCCCAGTGCATGAATCTCGTGCACCGGGCCTCTAGTATATATATAAAAGTGAATTTATCACATGCATAATGTGTTGCAGGCACTGTCTTAGGTGCTTTGCTTGTGTTACTCATTTAATTCTCACAACAAATGTAAGGGGCAGGTATCTTTAATATTCCCAATGATCAGACGAGGAAACCAAGGCAAAGGGAGCTGGTCAAGGTCACACAGGTATAGCAAGTCATGGAGTCATGATTCAAACTCAAGGCCCTCCTCCTAACTTCTTCTTTATACTTTCCTTTTATCCAAAAAGAAGTAATTTCTCTCCAGAGCCAGCAGAGGAGTTGGCGAGATCCACAGCTTAAAGACACCAGATAGTGTGAATTTGGAGAATAGTATAAAACCTGATGGCCTAGATTCCTCTGGGTCCCTGGAAATAAACTCAACTAGATCAAATTAGATCAAACCGCCTAAGAAGTTTTTCACATACTGCAAAAAAGCCAGCATTTTTTAAACCTTCTCTGACTTTGGCTGGCATTTCCCTATGCTCATGGTTACCTGGGACTGTCCCCACCACTACAGTCACTCTCATCTACTCTCAGTCTTAGGTCATTTGACAGCATGAAGGACCTTCTCTAACACAGAGTTCACATTGGCAGCCCACTGATCTGGCCCAGAGATGTTCCTTTGGAATAGGTATTTTAAAATTGTGAGTTAGCTACAAACATTTAAAATTGGAACATTTTATAAAAACTTGTATTTCCAGCTTCCTTTGAGAAAAACCAGACAATCTGGCAAAAGTTGGCTGGAACTCAATGGGCAGAGCATAACCTCCCCAGACCACCAGCCACTGCCACCCCTAATGCTCTTAGCATGGATGCAGGGCAGGGCCGTGGAACCTCCTGCTTGAGCCATTTCTTCTTGCATCATTGGGCTCCACTCACTTCAATTACCTGTCTGGTCTTGCTGGTGTCTGAATTTGCAAGTCTTGATCTGATGGCTAGCATTTCATCACAGCCTCATCACCCAACTGTTTCTGCCAGCCATCTGGCTTCTACCCCCTTGATCCTGTTCTCACAATTACCTGTGTTAGACTACCTACTTCATCTTAACACACTGCAGACCAGTTTTATTGCTAGCTTTACCCAGTGGCCAGGTAAGTTTCTATTGAACGAGTACAAAAAACGTTTTACACAAATGTTAAAAGGCACACTTTAAAATTAAATACCCATTGCATTTTGAAGTTATTTATTACATGTTTTTACAAGCTAATATCTTTTTTAAAGTATGATACTTTGTAAAACACTGTGTAATATGAAGCGTAGATGCTTCATCTTTCAAACATTTTCGCAAGCTTCTATTTGTTCGAATTGTTCCACAAACTCTTGTTTTATGTAGTAATAAAGTTTCTCCAATTGAAATGCTATTGTAATAGTTATCTTGGTATATGTGATGCCCCAATTCCAGATACAGCCGAAGTAGTGACAGAATAGAGTCATTTAATTTTTTTCCTTCACCTGTGTAAATTTCCATATTGCAAATATACTCAGTCTTGCTCTCACATACCATTCTTACAAGTAAACCATATTTAATAATTTTAGCTGGGTTTTAATTCGAAATAGAAGACGTCCCCTCCAGGGAATCATGCCTTCATCTAATGATAATTCTTGCATAGGTTTATATATTGTTTGAAATTTACTAATGAAGTGGTTGAGTACAGATTGAATTTTAAATAGCCTGGATGAAGATTTAGTCATGTTTGCATTGTCATTGAAATGCCAATAAGTCCAGATGTGTTCAAAACGATTTCAACTCATTGAGGAAATATTGGAACAGCTAGAACTGGATTTGCAGACCAATATTCTTTCCAAGTATCCTTTCGAGTATGCCCCATTAGCACGATAAGTCCTAAAAAATTTTTTATATCTGTTGGAGTAACAGGAGACCACTTTATTGCTTTCGAAATTTTGTGCTTTCCCAAATTTTGTTTATAATATACTAGAGGCCCGTTGCATGGAGATTCATGCAATAGGCCTTCTTTCTCCCCTGGCTGCCAGCACCAGTTTTCCTCTGGCATCCAGGACCCAGACCTTCACTCTGGCCACCACCTTCCATCTTCGCTCTGGACACAGTCTTTGCTGTGGCTGGAGCCTTCAGTCTTTGCTCCTTGCTCCGGCCGGAGTCTTCAGTCTCCAGCCAGAGCTGCTCCTGTAGCTCCTTCCCCCCCCCCTCCCCCTCATAGCTTGATCGCTGCTTCGCCTGCTGACCTCGCTGACGGGCTCTTGGGTCCCAGGGGGCCGCCTTACCTGCGGCCCGGCTTTCGAATCACGATCACGATCATGATCACGGGCGGCAGGCAAGGCGGCTCCTGGGTCCCGGGGGGCTGCCTTGCCTGCGACCTGGCTTTCTGGCGGCTCCTGGAGTCCGACACAGGGGCCTGGATGGTGGCTCCCGGTGTCCCGCCCTGCCTGCAGTATGCAAATTAGCCACCATCTTTGTTGGCGGTTAATTTGCATATCGCACTGATCAGCCAAATGGCGATGGTAGCGAAGGTACGGTTAATTACCATGTTTGTCCATTATTAGATAGGATGTTCAATTGATGACAAAATAGTTCAAACAGATCGTGGTCAAAAATCAAGTTGGTGACTTCAACGATGTTCTTAGAATCAGATGGTATAACGGTAACCCCAGAATTACCTTCAAATTTTTCCAAATTAGGTTGAAAGTCCTCTTTTGACCAATCATTATCTCGGCAACCAAGACGCAAATTACACTCAAAATCATGTGTGGAATTGTTCCAATTTTCAGGTTCGGAATCACTTGAAATTACTATTTTTCGCCTTTTTGAAGGAATAACTATATCACTGCCACTGTGAAAGCTTTCATCACTTTCACTTGGAATATCTGATATATTGTCAGCAAATATATCCAGAATTTTATCATGTTCTTCGTCTCTATCCATGGTTACTGAGCACTTTAAAAATATCAAATTGATGTAAAGTTATTTTTATTACTAAAGACAAGAGACTAATCACTTTCAATTCCTTTTGTAATTTTTAACTTCAGCAAATGTGTCTCTCTAAATGACAACAATGGCCCTAGCCAGTTTGGCTCAGTGGATAGAGCGTTGGCCTGCTAACTGAAAGATCCCAGGTTCGATTTGGGTCAAGGGTACATGCCCGGGGTTGTGGGCTTGATCCCCAGTGGGGAACTTGCAGAAGGCAGCTGATCAATGATTCTCTCTCATCATGGATGTTTCTATCTCTCTCTCCCTCTTCCTTCCTCTCTGAAATCAATAAAAAATATATATATAAAAAAATAAATGACAACAATGAAAAGCTGCGAATTCTCATGACTGGCCACAAGCCTTAGAACAGAGAACACGAGGATTCTCATGATTCGTCTGCAATGTGTTAAATTCTCCTCCCTTGGCATCCAAGACTTGACAAAAATCATTACAAGGAGAGAGATATGTTATTTCTCAATTATTTCATTTTGCTAACTTCTTCCCACCCTGAACTACAGGCACTCCTACTACAAAGCTAACTCCTGCCCTTGACTCTTCTCCCTCCTTTACTTTCCCAAACATAAACCCCATCTCGTCTCATGGATCCAACATTCTTCCTACACATTTGCTTCCCACGTCTACATTTCTGTCCTGTGACTCCAAGCTGCCCTGGTGGTCTAGGCATCAGCTAGCTCCTCTCCACCCCTCTGCTCTTAAGAAAGGCCTCACCATTTCCCCAGGCACAAACTTGAAATCATCTCTCTTTCCCTTTTCTCATTCATCCCCTTTATAACCAGTTGCCAATCTTATAAACTTTCTCTGAGTGCCTCACATAGTTACTTTCAATGTCCCCTTAGAATAGCTCGTTATGTGAACACACACCTGGATTAGCCTTCTAATTGACTTTGAGCCTTTCTTCTCTGCCCTCCATGATTACTAATGCACAGCTTGGAGCACACTGCCACCTCAATACCCAGCTCAAACAACTTTATGGCCCTCTACTGACTTCATGACAATATACCACCACTCAAGTAGACCATAATGCTCTCCACAATCCAGTGACAACCTACTTTTATCTCTCTGCTCTCCTTCCTGTCCTCTCCCTGTACTGAGAATAACCACACTGACATTAAGCCTCACGTGAACTATGCCCTCCACCTCTGGAATGCCTTTTCTTCTTTCTTGCTACGCCCTTTCCAGTGCCAGCCCTTGCACACTGCTCAGGTGGACCATTCTTCTGACTTGAGCATTTAGTTGAATGCATGGTTCTTTGCTGCCTTGTGTTCCTATTTCAGACCTGTGCATCCAGGCGGCATATCTCCCCTGATCTGCAGGATTCTTTAGGACAACTCTTAGTACAGGACTCTACGTTCACTCAATGAACTGAACCATATTGTAAAGCTCAACTCTGCTGCATACAAAAGAAAGTTACTAATCCCAGAAGCTGCAGAGATAAAACAAACCTTCTCATCCTTTGGGGGCCGACCCCGTTTCCGGGGACTCTGCTCTTGGGCTCTTTTCAGAGGGGACTTGGAGCCTCTCTCTGAAGAGCCTGATGACACCCTCTTCTTTCCTTCTCCCATGTTCTTCTTCACCTTCCCTTCAGACAGGCTAAGCTTGCGCTTCTCATCACCTGAGTTTGGCCTACTTCTCTCCTCACTGGAATTACGCCGATTCTTGTCATCAGCAGAATTGTGGGATGATGTCTGAAAGTTTAATAATAATAATGATAACCACCACAAGAGCCGCTGCCATCACCACCACCATTTACACGAGCCATGCCCTATGATGAGCACTTTACATGCATTATCTGCACAACAACCCTATGAAACAGGTCTACTGTCATGCCCACTTACACTTGAGCAGTTAAAAAAAAAAAAAAAATCAAGTCACTTGCCCACAGTCCCAAAGCTAAGAAGTAGAATTTACACCCAGGCAGTGGATATATCCCAGAGGCTGTGCTCCTAATCACTGAGCTATAAAAGGAGAAAAGACCTCTGCTGCACTCAGATACTTCTCCTGAGTCCAAGTGACTTTCCTAAGAGCAACAATCTATTCCAGAAAGGTCAGCTGCATGCATGGAGCTTCAAGCCGATTACCAAAATGCTGATACCTCAGAATTGAAGTAGCTCTTTTTCTACTGTCATTTCATAAGAATAGAGTTTTGAATTAGGGTGACATTTAATCTGTTAGTTAGTATGCAAAAATAACCGGTTGGGCATTAGCATAAATTAAGAATCATGAAGTCTCTCACCTGGTCTTTCCCTTTGGCTCTCCTGAGGAACTCTTCCACAGCATCCACAGCTTGCTGGAATCGTTTTCCCTTGTTAATCTTTATCATTTCCTCCTTATGCGCATGGTATGGCTTTAGCTGTTCCACTTTGATCCAGGCACTAGCAGAAAATACACAGAGAAAGGGTATGATCCACACTGCCTATGCCAAAGTATCAAAGACCTCACCCTAGCAGAATGCAATGATCCATTTGCTTTCATTGGGCTTTGAACAGGCCTGCCATTTTTTCAAAACATATTATTGACCATTTCAAGCTCTTGAGCCTTAAAGTATGTTTTCTTGGAACAAGCCAAGCAGAACAAGAAAAATCAGAATATCCTCCAAATGAAATCACTGTGTGATATGTTATTTCCACCCCTATTCACCTTCCTTCTACACTGAACCACACACACCATGCATGCCACTTGCTCTCAGGACAGAGGAAACCTGGACCTGCTTTCCCATTTTCACCACACAGTATAGATGGCCACATATGGATCCTAGGAAATCAGGGCACCTGGAAGCATCGCCACCCGCAACAACCTAAACCAGATTGATGACCTGTCAATCAACTCAGAGTCAGGGATATGAGGGCTTAGGAAATGCAACATCTAAAATCTTCTGCTCTTACAGATATTTGTAGCTGTGGAGCCTATATTTGTTCATAAATGACTGTATCCATGGCTACTAGACCACACAAAACATGTGACACATGGCTTGGAATGAGGGCAGCAGCACAAAGGGAGGCCTTCAAAAACAAGATTCTATTTGCGATTAAAGGTAGAAAAACATACTCTTCTAATATTTAATTTTTAATTACTACCATCCGTGCATAACACATGAAAGTAGAAAAAGCCCTCAATTGTCAATTCTGGAATATCTGACCAACCACACTTACCATCTGAACAATTCAGCCTCAGCTGACTTTCTGTGGTTTCCCTAAATGATATTCAGTTTCACAGTATAAAGGAGAGAATTTTATAGGTTTGGCAAGGTAATAGTTAATTTATATGTTGTACCTTGTAACACTCAAAGATTTCACAGTATACCCTTCAGAAAAAGTGGGTCAGGGTAAGGATTTAGAAACTGGGCTACCACACTAACTTAGGGTTCTTTCTCTTGGAGAAAGCTATAGAATTTTCATTAATAACTAGAGGCCCGATGCACGAAATCATGCAAGGGGCTCGGCCCTCTCAGCCCTGGCTTTGTCCGGAAGGTCGTCCAAATGGTTGTCCGAACGGTCCTTCTGCTATTTGGTCTAATTAGCATATTAGCTTTTTATTATATAGGAGGATAGTAAAAGTGCTAACCTCTGTACATAAAAATAGTGCTACCAACCCACCAACAGCTTTGGGTGTTGTGATAATGATTGTGACAGTGGGTCTGTACAAACACAACAGCCCTGTGACCATCAACTGGCAAGTGGGACAGCAAACCAGGACTAGGCATGTTACCTATGGGTAAACAAAACTAGACAGAATGAATGATGAAACGGGACTCAGCCCTAGCTGTTCTGGCTCAGTGGATAGAGCCTAGGTCTGCAGACTGAAGGGCCCTGGTTTGATTCTGGTCAAGGGCACATGCCCGGGTTGCGGGCTTGATCTCCAGTAGGGGGCATGCAGGAGGCAGCCAATCAATGACTGTCATCATTGATGTTTCTCTCTCTCTCTCTCTCTCTCTCTCTCCCTTTCTGAAATCAATACAAGTATATTAAAAAAAAGAAAAAGAAAGGGGACTCAGACACTGGTCTCACTGCATAGAGCTTCCACTGGATGAGTAAGCAGGTAACTTTCTCGTGACCAATTCATTTTAAAATTTGAAATCTGACACAATGGAGCTAAGTGGGTCCGATCTATAGGAAGACAAATGGAATTAAATTTCAAACCCATAGTGTCTGGCAAGTATACCACTGAACTGACCTTCTTGCCTCTCCTCGCATGTATAGTGTTTCGAAGGACAGACCATCAGAGCAATCAGATACAAAGCCAGACACTCCCTGAAAAGCCAGTTAAGCTGTCATACCAACTGGTGGCTCAAACATGACACAAGTATCAGTAATGAAGCTTAAAAGAGCCACAGACCTCAAGACAGGCCTCTTCCTTTTTCTGAGCTTCAGTCAGAAGCTGAGAACTGCACAAGTTCCAGAAAAAAACCAATAGGGTGGTTTTGATGGAGCCCTTGAGATGGGACAACATACTCCAAGAATCCTAATTCCTAACCTCCCTCCCCATATTAACCTTTGATTCAGAGTAAGTGGAAGGGTAAGGCTATCTGGAGGAAGCACCAATAAATCCATGCCTATGTTTTTATTGAAGCATTTTACTGATTTCTGCCAGGAGAACAATATAGTAAAAATCCGTTTCAACCTGAAGACTGGCATTTGAGATAGTAAAGTGAAATTTTCCTCTATGATCATCTTTGAAAAGTGAAAATGGTTTGCTAAATGAACTGACAGCATAAATATGACTTTAAAAAGATAAATGCAAAAAGTTAATCTACTTAATCAATCAGTTGTTGGATAAGCATCCTGCCACATTAGTAAAACAGTAAATAAAAAGCCAGCCCGCCAGAGCCCCAGGAAGATTACTTCATGAAAGCAAATCAAACTGAAATCCCTTTGGCTGTCTGAATAGAGTATTTTCTCTAAAGGCTGTAGTACTGCAAAACCCTCTCTGTATCCATAAAGAGGGTTTGCTTTTCAGCAGGAGCTTCAATAATGCACCACTCTCCTATCCACTGAGGCTCATCAAGCGGGGCTGGCATGCAACTGGTGCTCAATAAATAATCACAGGGTAAATGATGCCTTCCAGGCACATTCAGGGTGACTCTGGGTTAAATGTTGTAAGGCATTAGTGGCCTTTTGTGGTTGTTGCATTTTTTTTTATTTTTTTTTAGTGACTGCTGTTTGTTTCCTTGATATAAGCTGTAACTTGTGATTTCCCTTATGTCATTCTCCCAATGCCTAGAAGGAGCTGGACCTTTTCTGTCCAAGTTGTTGTAGGTTGGGAAGTCATAAAAATCAAGCTTAGTCAAATTGCATCTAAAGCATGTGCCTTCCCTTTTATGTAAAAGAAAGTTAATTACATATTGTTTGTAGAAGTAAACACCTAAAAACAAAGTAGCTAGCGATCAGCAAGGTCATTACAAAGTACAAAATGGAAGGTCCCTTAAGATATTTGGCTAAGTGGAAAAAGCAAGATGTAGAGCAGTGTGTAGTATTCTACCACTTGTGCAAAAAAGAGGAAAAAGGCCCAGGCCAGTGTTGTAAAGTGGTCAGAGCGTCGGCCTGCGCACTGAAGGGTCTCAGGTTCAATTCCTGGTCAAGGACGCGTACCCGGGTTGCAGGTTTGCTCCCCACCCCTGGTCGGGGCGTGTGCAGGCGGCAACCAGTTGATGTGTCTCTCTTACATCGATGTTTCTCTCTCTCTCTCCCCTTCTCTCTCCCTTTCTTTCTCTCTGCAAAGCAATGTGGGGATTAACCAAACAGAAACAAACAAACAAACAAAACAAAAAAGAGGAAAAAGGAATATGTAGCTTCTTGATTATACAAACACTATCTCTAGAGGGCTATGCCATAAAAAACACTGATGACTAGAGGCAGGGAACTGGGTGGCTGAGGGACAGAGATGAATGGAACCCTTTCATCGTTTATAGCTTGAGTTTTTTTTTGGTAACTATAAAGGCGTACTATCTTTAAAAAACATCAAATCAATAAAGGCCTCTGCTGTAGAACAAGGGCTATTCTGACTGCCCAAAGGGTTTTCCCCATTATTTCCTTGTTTGTAAGGTTTCCTCAGGTGGGTAGTAACTGCCTGGATGCCTGTTAGATGAACTGTAGTACGGTCAAGAGCAGCTAACTTACCCTGGTATTCTGATATACCTCCTACAAAGTCGTTTTCGTTTGTGAATATAAACCTTCCACATAGCTACCATCAGATTATACACTCCACTCAAAATGAATTTAAAAACATCACATTTTTTTGCTCTAGTTTGGCTCAGTGGATAAAACGTCAGCCTGTGGACTGAGAGGTCCCGGGTTCGATTCTGGTCAGGGGCATGTGCCTTGGTTGCGGGCACATCCCCAGTGGGGGGTATGCAGGAGGCAGCTGATTGATGTTTCTCTCTCATCAATGTTTCTAACTCTCCCTCTCCCTTTCTCTCTGTAAAACTTCAATAAAATATTTTTTTTTTGAAAAAATACAAAACATCACATTTTTGCCCTGCTTGGTGTGGGCCGCAGGTTCAATTCCTCATCAGGACACATACCCAGGTTGTGGGTTCGATCCTGGGTCAGGGAGTGTACGGGAGGCAACCAATTGATGTTTCTCTCTCTCAAATCAATAAAGAATATCCTTGGGTGAGGATTAAAAACAACAAATTACATTTTCAAAAACTTCCATAATTCTGACCTGCTTTCCTCTTAAATTAAAATCATACCATGAAGCTACCATATTCAAGGTGCCAGTCCATGAACAATCTCAAACACCCTCACATATGTGTCTCAGACTTTGCACAGACACAATGAAATGACCTGGGTGGGGGTGGGGGAAGGAGAGAGAACACATGCAAGCATAGTCCAAAGGTGAGGATAAGAAGAGGGTCAGAAGATGTGGGTTCGCTTCTCCATCTGGAATTGGTGAGTAGCACATTGTAAATAATTCCTAAGCTCCCCCCACTCCAAACCATTGAAAAAGGCTAAGTATCCTGAGGTAGTAGAGCTTCAAATCCAAGCCATTCAGAAATCAAGATACCCCCCAAAACCATAAACAACTCAAAAAACAAAACAACCAAGAACTACACACAAAAAGATAATTAAAAATTTCTCAGTTCATTTCAAGCAATGATTATCACAGAGACATCAACGAAGTCTTGCAGATAAGATAAAGATTTTGTTTCCAAAACTTGAAAACATTCCCAAAAGCTGGGTGAGATTTTCAAGCTGCGCTGTCTATATCAACGCCGCCAGCTGCATTTTTTGGTGCCATTTTCTATAATTCCAGTGTATGACACATGCTCCGGCCTCAGCCACCAAAGGAGTCACCTACAGGATGGGAGCTGTGCTGATGGTAGGTGAGAATCTACTCAGTGCTCTAGGATGACTACTGTCTAGCCCTGGCAGAAGGACACTGCTGGCTCAGTCAAAATATTAAGAGCAGTGGCCCTCACTCTCTACTTGGCTCAATTCTTCAACTATTACACAGTGTTACATGTAGTAACAGTGGGTCAATCAGTTGCCAGGTGAAAAGAAAAAGGGATGCTTGGATGGTTCCAATCTGTTATGCTCTGAGCCACAGATTTTTCTGGAAGAATTATTTGAGTACTCACTCAGACACTTCATACCCAGCCTGTCCCACCTTCTATCTGGCTTGATGTAAAAGTACCTCAGGCTGACATCTATGACTTAAAATCCACAAATCTCCTGCCTCTCAGTTTCCACATCTACCAGTATAGATGGAAGTTTCTGAAAATGTAATTTTTATTTCTGTTGATTTCGAGCAACTACAAACTAAATAAACTCCCTTCACTCTGTCATCCACAGTCACTGACCAAACTTGTAAACTCTGAGCTCAGTTTCTCCTCTGATGGGCAGCCACCTGTCCAAGATGGGCCCTCATGTGCCTGAGATTTAATCTTTGGTTGTGGCCACCTGATAGAGTTGACAAAGTTATGTTAAAGTTATTTTCCCCTCTGTATTTCCATGAAACAGAAAACAACTGTGGGCAATTCCCGTTGTGGTCATCCAGCCTTGGAGAGTCGAATCCAGCCATCTTACTAAGTCCTTCACTTCACAGGGGAGGCTGGTTAGGAAAATCTGGCCCTCTCTTCCTAACAGTGGGATGTCAACAAAATAGATTAGAAGTTTTGGCAGAGGAAGGGAGAAAGAAAAATCAAGTTTCTAAAAGATTGAAATCATTGTTTATCTAAAGGAGTTACTCTTTTTAGAAAAAAATGTGTTTTTATTGACTTTAGAGAGAGAGGGAGAAGGATAGAAAGATAGAAACATTGTCTGCCTCCTGCACACCTCCTACTGGGGATCAGGCCTGAAAATTGGGCATTTGCCCCGACCAGGAATCAAACCAGTGACCTCTTGGGGTTCATGGGTTGACGCTCAACCACTGAGCCACACCGGCTGGGCTCTTTTTACTCTTTAATAAAGGTCCTTGCTAATATAAAAAATCCCATCTCTATATATTTTCTCCATAAGTAGTATGTCAGTTTTGAAACTGAATACCTGTAACTGAATCCTATATTTCTCAGGAGTACAGGAATAGCCCCACTGGGTCAGGCCCTGTCCACCGTGGTCAGTGCCTAATCACCAGAGAAGCCTCCATTCTAGAATGTGCCTGACATCAAGTATTAAAGGTGAGGTAGAGACCAGCTTCTTCTGTAGCCCTTATGACTTTGCCCTTCACAAAGCAGTTCTCATCCCTAAAAAGTTCACTTGCATTTCTTTTCTAAACCACCTCTTAAACGTTTGTTTCATATTGTACTCCTTATACATGTCCTAAACAGTCATATGTTTATTATACTCATGGTGCCCCTTGTTGAAACATTTGGGAGGTTTATGAACAAGTCAGTGTTTACCTCCTTACGGTCACTTATTATTTCATCAATTTGGATTGTGCTTTTTTCAGTCTTTGCTTTTTCACATTAGAGTCCTACTCTTTTGTCTGATTTGGTCCCCTTTCCAGATCTTGACAAGTTCCTCCTCCAAATTCCTTTGGGAGCATGGACTGGACTGTACAAGTACTCCTGGAGATGCACAGTATAGTTTTTACATAAAGATGGGAGGATGTAAAAATAAGAAAAAATAAAGAAAAAAGGTGGAACAATGTATTGCTTTGTGTTCAAAGACTTTTTGGTCAGAAGAGCAGACCTGCTGATGTCCTTAGGAATCTCCAACTTTCAGGTGACTTTCTTTTCAAACAGATTCTCTCTCTTCTGGGCAGTCTGTGTCTGTCCCTCACATTTTCCCTACTCAAAGCCACCTGCTTCTTACCAGCTTTTTCTTTTGTAACAAGAGATCTATACCCTAACCTGATGTTTGCTGAACACCTGCTGTATATACCAAAACCACACTATGGTAAATGATGCTACTTCTTTGTACAAGGTCGGGAGTATTTTTCTTACATGTAGATAAGAATGCAGAGTCCTAGAAAGATGAACTTGCCCAAATCAGAGTAGGTGAAACTGGTATATGAATGCATGTTAGGCTGGTAACAAATCTAGAGCTCTTTCCCCAAAGTAATTCACTGCTCCCCAACAATCTGGAGAGTTTACCCTCAGATAATATAAAGATACTAAATAAAATCTGCCTTAACTGATCACTAAGAACCCTCCTCCCTTCAGAGAAGTGCTGTCGATCCTTACCCTTGTTTCCTTTTACGGAGTCAACTGCCTAGCCACAAAAAGATAACATGTTAGTCCTACAATGTATTATTTTTTAAATAGCTTTTTATATGGAACTCTATCAAGGAAGTTTAAAAAGCTTAAAGATATTAAATCTAGCAGTTTCCCTGTATCCACTTGCTTATGAATCCCCTCAAAAAACTTTAGCCAATTAGAAATCACATCATCACCACTACTGACACCATTAGGTTATTTTTGCATTCAGTAAGTGCATCCTTTTCATTGGCTTCACTTGGTTGCCTGTTGAGCATGGCAATTCACTCAACTCCAATTTTCTGTGTTTTATCTGTAGTATTTCTTATACATAAGGACTACAGTTTATTTTTCTAAACTTCCAGAACTTTAAAAAACATTATTATAAAAACACAATGACTTTCAGGCTTGCTGTAATCTGATTAAGCCCCCACTTTCTATGAGTTCTCATTTTTCTTTCATACTTGGTTAGCTAAACAAAGAAGTACACAAGTTAGGCCAACCATATTGCCTCTGTCATTCCCAAGCCCAAGTTCTTTTCTTTGTTAAGGATATTTTTTCCATTGATTTTTAGAGAAAGTGGAAGGGAGGGGGAGATATAGAGAGGGAGAAACATTGATGTGAAAGAGACACATCAATTGGTTGCCTCCTACATGAGCCCCAACCATGGCCGGGGGTTGAGCTTGCAATGAGGCACATGCTCTTGACCGGAATTGAACCCAAGACCCTCAGTCCACGGGCCAACCCTCCAACCACTGAGGCAAACCAGCTAGGTCCCAAGCACAAGTTCTTTGCCTTAGATGGGGAGCCTCTCTCTGCCCACATATCCAACTAAAAGACCAGTTATTTATAGAATCCAATGCCTAGAATACCCTTACTATTCCTGCCTACACCAACTCTATCCATCCCGAGTTTGATTCAAATTCCATCTCTTACATCAGCCTTTGACCTGGCCATTCTCCACTGATCTCTATATATATTCTAGAGCCCTTTAATAATTATCTGAATCACTCATTCTGCACTTAACCCCATCTTAAATGTTTATGTCTTTGTCACCTGAGTTCCTGGAAGACGGGCACCACAACATTCGCTTTCCAAGTTCCCTTCGGTGTCAAGCAATTCGGAGTGTGGTTGTACAATCAGCACTTGTTTTATGCATCAGGATAATCTTTCTTGTGAAATCCATGGCATACCAGAACATTCTCTCTTCCAGAGTGTCTCTGGCTCTCACAGCTCCAGGATAGTGACCCCTTTGAAATATTGCCATCAAAAGGCTGCTAAGTTGGTTTGTAACAGAGAACTGGGGCTGGGTATATCAGTATATCTGTATGATGCCAGGCAAACGCTAAATCAAAATGAGTAAGCACTCTGACACATAAACTCCTGAGCAAATGAAGAACACTGTTTATAAGAGATTTTCCTATGGAATATTATATCTTGCTTTCTAGGAATGTGTATTTTAATCATTGGTATTAAATTATCAGAAAAGTCACATTTTCCTAACCCTAAATTACATTTTCCTGTAAGAATCATAGACAGAAATATAACTACTTAAAGAAATCAAACCATCTAGCTAGACCTAGGTAATCAACTTGATGTAGTGATAAGTTAAACAAATCACTCAAGCAAATACATCTTCTTCCCCTCATTGTGCTTTCCTATCAAAGAATCTCAAATTAATGGTTCTGATTTCAACTCAGGTCTGGTTAAAAAGCATTACTTTTACATTATTAGAGTGAGCTATTACCTCTTACAAAAGAAAGCAGATTAAACAATTACTTTTATTAAGATAAATATTTTAATTTTCACTGTATACCTCATGCATGAGCCAAATGATAAACAGCTATTAATAGAGAACCAAATGTGGGCTTTATAAAAGGAACTGCCTATGGAACGGGTAAAGAGATGTGAGAAACTATCTCAATGTGATTATTATATTTAGAAGGTGGTGAGCCCTAGTTCTCACCTGACATTATTATTAGCCCAGGACAGTTCTGCAAGATAAGAATACGAATACCATCTTTTATCTAGGTATGAGGCCAGAATGATACGCATCCGTACAGACTATAGTAAGGCTGAACTAGGGTTCCTAGAATATTCTCAAAGCAGCTCAGACCCAGGGCAAAAGCTAAAAAAAGGCAAAGGGAAACTCTTGGTGAGTGCTACTCACTGATCCTCTGTTCCAAAAAACTTTACAAAGAAGCATTTCTTCCCACGAGGTTTCTTCAAATCCTTGGGTGGATTAACAATCTGGGGGATAAAAGGGGGAAAAAAAAGGTTTTCCACAGCTCAAAGCCAGTAAGAAAAAAAGGAATGTCTTAAAATAAAAACCCAGGGCCTAGAATATGTTTAGACTTGGCACTTTTCTACAGAAGTTCCCTGTATCAAACATGTAACAAGCACAGTGTTCAGTAGATAAAATTTCCTTTTTGAAATGGTCCTGTTTTAAAAGCAATTAAAATGAAGACCAACAGCCCCCCCACCCCCAAAGTGACCCTATAATCACTGAAGAAATGCAAAGGACACTTTTGAAAATATTTCAAGGCAGGAAGAGTTGAGACAGGTAATAGTGACAATGAAAGTCAACTGAGGCACTGAAAATGCCATGCTCCAAAGAGACAGTCTAAGGCATTTCTTGGGCTCCTAGCAAGAATATATAAACAGAACATTTGGAAAGCTATGATGGATCGCCTCATGCAAAATTTGAAATGCCAACTTCTGCAAAGATGCACTGGAGCACCACATATGGTAACATGGAAAGAAGATTTAAACTGAGTTGGGACAAAAATACTTTGACTTTTCACTAACCTACATTTAGATTTCTCTCTTCCTGGAGAATTTATTTTCTTCTCCTTTTGTTAGATTTAAGTATAAAGCTAAATTCAAACTAGAATTGATTTCCAGAGTTAAAAGACTCCATCAAAACCATCTCTGATTCAAGAAATAAGCAATCACTGCAGATTAAATGACCTGATTTATATATTGGCTTTTCTAAATGAACTGATATTAGAGAAAAGAAAAATCTGATTGTCATTTAAATAGGCACAGTTTCATTCAAGGTTAGAAACTGAGGGGAATGCATCTGCCATTCGTCACCTCTTCAAACCCAACTTCAGACGTCTTCCTTTAGTTTAGTGGCAAGACACTCACCTTTCCCGGCCATGGAGGGTACCGGCCGAGTTTCCCCCTAGAGAAAACACAGAAGAGTCAGCATTTGCCCTGGAAAGCTTGTCCGCTTCCTGCAACCCACTCAACATGCCATTTATTTCCCTAAAACTCCACTTGCATTCTCCAGCGCCAGAACAAAAGCTGGCAAACAGGAGTTCTTAACTCCTGGCTTCCATGGATGGCCCCACAAGTCCAAACCCCTCAGAACTGGAATGCAAAATTGTACACATATGCGCAGAAGGTGTGTGCATTCTCCTGGCAACAAGGGGTACAACAAAACCACCGAGAGTCACTTGTCTAGAGCCTCCCCTTGGTGGGGGTGGGGGACAGTTTGCTCTGTAAACACAGACTTCCCCTCGCAGTCTGGTTCAGTTCACCGCGAGCCCAGTCCGTCCTGCCAAATGCTAATGGAAGCCTTCCTCCGGGTCAAGAAACAAGCTACGCAGCTAGAGAGGCGGCGACAGTCGGTCCTGGTTCGGGCGGTTGTCTGGGGGCACAGAAGCGGACTGCGAGAGGCACACAAGAAGGTACTGGTCACTGCCAACCTAAAGGAGAAGTGTCCCCTCCATGTCTTCACGGGGCAGCGCCATCAGTCCGGTTTCGACACCCCCCGGCCGAGCCGCCCGCACAGGTCGGTTCCATCGCATCACGGGTTTTAACGGGCTCGCCCGGACGGTATGGCCCCGCGGGCTCCCCGCGAACCCCAGCAAGACCCAGAGGGAACCGGCGTCCGCGGCCGACGCCCTTCACAGTAACCGCCGGCGTCCGATCTGGAGCGTAGCTCTCTCCCGGGCGCCCTCACGGCTCAGAGAGGGGCCCATCACGGCCACCCTCGGACTCAGTCCCCGGGGGCCAGGCTGCCCCTTCCGCCCGGCGTCATTCGCAGCGCCGGCACCTCATCTCGGCCTCTCCGCGGCGTGGAGCGCACAGAAAAGCAGCTCCCGGGCTGGCCGCCAACTGCGCGCCCAGGGGAGCAGCTCCCCGGCGCACCTCGCTTGGCCCCGGCCGCCCGGACTCACCATACCAAGTCGCCGAGCCGCAGACTCACAGCCGCCATCTTACCACCCAACCACCACCGACGCACGGGTCGCCGGGAACCTTAGGTAGCCCTGGCACCGCCCATTGGAGTGCGCCCTGCCACGTGACTAGGGACGGCTGTCATCGGCCTAGCCGCCTCTCTGACGTCACCACGCCCGCCGGGGCTTATTGGCCGGGCGAGGGGCACGTGACTAGGCGCCGCTGTCTCCGCGCGCCGGAGCCCCAAACTCCCGGCTCCTTCCCCCTCCCTCGGGCTCGTGACAACGAAGCACCCGCGGTTTGAGGCGGCGGCGAGGACTGAGCTGCTGACCGAGCGCAGCGCGAGGAAGTCG